GAGGATGGAACATTAACTTAAGGCTTTTATAAAGATGTTAACTGTAATGCCTATGTTTAATTAATTTATAGCATATTAATAATGTGTTGCCTCTTCCTTCACATTTGCATTTTTATTGGTGACTTTTATCGCTTCATTTCACAAATGAGTGAGAAATGAAAAGAATTTCGCTGCGGGCGATGGAGTTATCGATTGTTGTGAAATGTAAAAAGGAAATACCCGAAGAGTGTAGAGAGAGAAATTTCTTAATGTTAATAATAACTAATTTTCAATCCCTACTAGATGCTACTTTATGTAGATTCAATAACGTAAATAAAATTGGGTGCAAGAAACTCATCAGTGTCGTCCATTTACTATGCATTAACATCATATCACAAAAAAAGCATCAAAAAGAGGAGAAAAGCATTTCTTTAAGATGCGAGAAGTACAAACTACGTAGAAAGATAATTAAAATGGTCAAGAAATATTCTCAAAGATCAACGGACTTAACCTTCAATTTCTCAGTGAATCTGTGAGGTATAACTGAATAATTATAAGTCATAACAATGATATTGTATTTATGGCTAAACAATGTTGAAGAAATGGTTTGGACGAGTTTTATTTCAAATGTGCTGTTTAGTTTAAGCTTACTGGATTTTTGAAGGATTTTCGATAATCAAACTCTTAGAACCGTACAAATTTCTGAATTTTAACGGTTTCTTCTACAAGTTCATAAATTGAATTACAATTAGGAATCTAGACACTTATAAGATACAATATTCACATCATGATCGTAACCTGTATACTATGAATATGTCATAGACGAGTTTGCAACAATAACAATAGATCAAATCATTCATAAACTCTTCAAATCGCTCAATTCATTAATTCAATATCAATTTAAGATAGACTTGATTATTATTTTTGTTTAAACAACTTTATATTCAATTGTTTCTGATTACTGCATTGATAATTTTTTGTATAATAGTAATTTCAAGGACATCATTCAGTCACATTTGAAATTACGATTATCTCTCGATGTGATGAAATTCAAGTGCACTTTCACATCAATCAGGCAAAGACATTCAAAGTCATGTCGAAAAAAAAATTTAAATATGGAATTGATTTGAAATTTGTGATTAATGTGAGTCTTGATTGGTATTTAATTGTTGAAATGAAATAATCATACGATTTTATTTTTTGAAAAAAGATATTAGAAGGGGTAATTGTTACTGATCGAGATCGTAGGTGATCAAGTCATTTAATGTGAATTGAACTGGGTCATTTGATGGAGACGATTATTGAGTTCAATAAAAAATTTTCTTCTTACTGCAAACAATCAATCAATAGCGATCATGACATTTTGACTTATGGAATCATGAAGATTCATGACATTGGAAGTATCCTTATCTAATCGACTAGCTAGAGAGATTAGGATTAAAGGTCAATTTATTGAAGTGCACTTGAACCTTTTTGGTATAGTAAATTATGTACCTGATGCACAGAGGAATGAGTAGTTTCTGGATTGTCTTAAGTTGTATCCAGGATTTACGAAACCAAGAATAAAAAATAAACAGCTTTACTACGTAAATTATAGTCTCGACCTAACAGTAGAACTCCATCAGATTCAAGCGTGTAACCAGAGGAGGGGATTCGACAAATCCTATTACGTTAACAGAAATTTCTTCATTTTGCTAGGGTTGTATGAAAAAATTTTAAAAATCCACCACCCCCCCCCCCCCCCCCCCCTAAATGTTCCATTTAAAATTTTTTTGTCCCCCTCTTCAAATTCCTGACAACGCCCCTGATCAGATTTAAGCAAAGCACCCAGACAATGGTGATTATTAGTGGATTTTAACACAGGCACCGGCTGACAATCTCTTCTGGCTTGTGAGTAATTGTCAGTAATTTTTGGAACCTTGCGTTATCTCCAAGGATGCAGAACTGATTAAATGATCAAAAAATGACTATGTTGTATTTTTGAATGTGTAGTAAGTCTTTCATCTTAGTGTTGCAATTATCAGTTTGTGGCTAGGAAGAATAGTAGCAATTGCAAGACTCAACTTTGAAAAATTTACATTAAATTCATAGTTTATAGACTGTTCTGTCAATGTCTGAGTCTTGTCTTTGTTACCATTTTTATTAGACAAACTGATGCTGGCTTCACCAAATTAAAAGGCTATCTACACATTTCATAATAATTAATCCTGAATAGAACTTTTTTTTTGCATTTTTAATCAGCAAATCTTAAAAACAATCGGTTCCAAATCCCCCAAAGCCATTAAATTTCAAATTTTCAAACAATAACATTTAATCCTTGTCTTCATTAAAACCTGACACAATATTGCTTAAGAGACCATAGATTAATCCTTCAAATGAATTATCTGCAAGGTTATTAGCCATCATTAAAAGCTTCTTGTAAAAATTCAACTCATCGAGCATACACAAAAAATTTACACAGCTACCCGTTGACTTGACTTCTTTCTTATAATCCTCAATTATAATTCTTACTTGTTGTTGGTTTCTTTTTTTTTCTTTGATACAATCACACACTTACGCTATTGAAACGGAAAGTGCAAAAGACTTCATTCATACTTATTTTTCTTTTTCATTCTCTTTCTTTTTCATTTCGTCTCATTTAAATGCATAAATGGTTTGTCCATATGAGTTCGTAGTGATTTATTCATTTTGAGTTGAAATATTTCAAGCATTTTTGTCTCAATTATTGTGATTGATATGTGAATTAGTTTTCGATTATTTTTTGCATTTTGATTGTCAAATGTGAATTTTAATTTTTGTGTAAGGTAAGCAATTTATTTATGCACAAATTTTTGGGGTGTGTCTAGAAAATATGTAAGAGAATTGCTTAGTGGCAATTGGGGTAAGTTAAGCTTTTTGAGAGAGTTAATAATTAAGCCGGGACTAAATAAGTTGAAGATTAAAGGCATGTTTTTCAATCCTTTGGATTTTGTTAAAAATTAATTTTGATGCTTAAGGACCTTCAACTTCGATACAAAATGTTCTGAATGAGAATTGAACCGGTTCTCTTACGATCTGGTTTAACCTCTTAAGTTATCGAGTGTTTCTTGAAAGCTTGGCAGAATGTCAACTTAATCTGTTAATCTACTCTGAACTGAATCTTAAGTGTTAATGTTGAAGCAGCTTTACCCGAGCGGCACAAGGTGGAGGGTGGTCTCCATATGGAATCCATATGAACGCCACCTCCACTATGTGGGAAGTAAATGGAGGGTTATTTTTTCATCCTTCATATTGATTCCATTTGGACTCCATATGAACTCCGCTTTTTCTTAAATCAAATACCGAAAAACTCGTGCTTTTGAATTTTTAAAAGACAGAGGTCAGATCTTACTGTAATGGATTGAAATATTGTCGAAAAGCTTTACTGAATCATATTGCTTCATTTCAAGCTTTAAAAAAGCAAAAAAGGATAATTTTTTGTGATTTTGTATGAAATTACATACTTCACAAGCGCATACAGAAATCACTATTATATGGGGTCGTTTAATTTGTATGAAAATTTTTAATAATTTCTTATGTTTCTCATGCGTGTGATCGAGACTTAGAAATTGCTGTGGTTGCGGCTTAATTAAATTAAGTTGTAAATTTTTCAATAGTGTTAGTGTACTTTAATTAAGTACACTAATACAGCTACAAATCTTGATATAAAAATTGCGAAACATAGAAAAACACGTGGAAAATCGTACCAAAAATCCTTTGAAAAATGCTTCCATTAAACCTCCGTTTGACTACCACAAATGGATCCTCCATCCTCCATCAAAACCTCTCAAATGACTTCCATTTGGTGTTAATAAATGCACGTCCCACGGAGGATTTTCGGAGCTTTGGCTCCGTCAAAGTTCCATGATAGTAAGGTTTTCGGAAGATTTTCAAATGGAGGGTGGAACATGGAGGCTCCGTATAGCTTCCATATGGAAGGCAAATGGAGCCTTTGTGCCGCTCGGGTTACTTATGAATCTCAATGTGTCCTTATTGCTTTTGGCATCTTGAGCACACTCATAAAAAAAAATTGATAAATTTTATTAAAAATGTATGAAAAAGTTTAATAAAAGTTTATAAAAATACATCTTGATAACTTTTACTAAAATTTGATAAGGGTTATTAAAAGTTTTGGTTTTACAAAATTGCATTCAAATTTTACAAAACCGTTAAAATTTTAATAATTTTCTTACTAAACTTTAGTAAAAAGTTATTAAGATGTATTTTTTATAATTTTTATTAAATTTGTTCATGGATTTTAGTAAAAAGTCATTAAAATTTCTTGGATTATTTTTTTTACAAAAACAGCTTTATAGTATAATTAATTTATAGTATGGAGCTTTTTCAAGTCTTAACTAAAATGCTTTCTCAAAGCTTAAGACTTTGCATGATTTTTGGCACTTAATGTGCCTCATAAGAAATTTATAATTTTATATGACTTTGTATGAGAACGAAGACATTCTTTTGTATAAGTCATTTCTTGGAGCGTTTGTGAAGTATATAAAATGTATGAAAACCTTACAATTTTGGAAACCTACAACAGTTTTACAACGCTGTAGAATTTTAAAAACTTTTATTAAAATTTGATAAGTTTTATTAAAAGTTTGATAAGGTTTACTAAAATTTTAATAATTCTCATTAAAAACTTTTTAATAAGATTTTAGTAACAACTTATTAAAAATATTTTTATGAGTGCACTAGTCCACAGCTTGAAAGTGACTAAGATTCCACTTTTATACTTTATTATTTTTGTCAATTTGTGAGTAATTTTAATAAATTTAACTTAGTTTGAATTTCAATCAAATAAAAGACAAAAACACATCAAAGTTGCACAAATAAAGCTGTTAACCAACATTTTCAAGGTAAAAGCTCATCTAAAATATCCGCAAATTCTTCATTCATGCTATCATCATTCGTAAAATCCATTTTTACTCACATTACTTAACATGAAATTCATCTTAATTAAAGACCATAAACAGAAGAATAATTAAAAATTTACTTACTTATCTTATGTTGAGATAAAATTGCTTTTGTGTTGTTTTTAGTCATTTTGAAATTCGAACTGGATTTGAAGTTATTTTGTAGGTTTTTTTGAGTGAATTTTATTATTTTTTGATATCGCAGAATCTCTTCCACACTACACAGACGATATTTTCCACTTATTACGTCATATTTTGTGGAAATTTTTTAATCTAGAAAATTCGAATTTATTTTAATAATTTTTTAATCTCAAAAATGTTTTATTTGCAAAAAATGTCAGTTCGGCGCCGTTTCATTCATCTGATTTTACATAATAAGTCTTGAATTTTCCCTAGACTTGATGTCAAAAGGTCTCAAATTAAATCAAAAAATGCAGTAATTTCATTTGCTGTTCTAATTGCTAGAACTGATTCAATTATAATTGATATTAACCTTCTCACCTTAATTATCAATATTTAATTTTATTTCCAACCTTCTTTTAACCTAATAAGATTTATTTTGCTTATTCCACAAAAGAATTATGGATAATTTTGCTTAAGTTAATAAGGAAATTTTCCTAATGCACTATTAAAATAAATTAGCAAAAATATAAACGAGTTATTGCTGTTATTCTTGTGTGAAATAATGAACTTACGTAGTTTTCATACTTATCGGTTTAATTCCCATCGTAAATTTAATATTAGTTAAACTTTTAAAAGTTTATAATTTGTTTTAAAATTAGTGTTCAATTTTAAGGTTTGTGGTTCTTGCTAATCTCAATTTGAATCTAATTTAAATTGATTCTTTTCTATTTTTTTGTGAGCTGAAATGGCTCGTTGGCAGAATAGTTCAGTACTTCGGTTCTTAATTATTGCAATACCAACACAGTGATCATGGGTTCGAGACTGGGCATTGGAAATTTTTCGCTTGTCAGTTTTTGAACTATACATACTGGATGAAGCTCACAGCCTTTCTTTGAAGGCAACAGGCAGAAATGTCATCAAAGGAGTGTCTCGAATTCCACTATAAATTGTAGGACCAGCTTTGAGTGCAGTGGTTTGGCGCATCATCACTCGTTAAGCTCTCATTAGCTGCGAAACGCATCTAGTTTTAAGATTTGAATTTCATCGATTTCGAAAGTGATTAACTTGTCATTGTGAGATTCGAACTCATGAGTGATTTTTTAACTTTGCTAATCTACAAATAAACTAGAATCTACGATAACCAAATCAACAATCTATAAAATTCATCGATTTCAAATTACAGCAATTTTTAAATTGAGCAAATAACTGAGAATTCCCCAAAAAGATAATTTAATGTCGGTAAAGTGTACAAGCATATAACTGTACAGCATTTTGGTTTATTTGTCACATGATTCTTACTTATTGTCGTCATAATCTATTGTTTTGTCCATTTTAATTGCTCATTCCTTTCACAATTTATAAAAATTTCCGCAAAACTACCAAAAATGTAATAACATCGGGAATCCCGCAAATCTTATCATTAATGATCTTACCGAATTCTTCATCAATTTAATCATTTTGAAGTGACTTTGATCACATGAGATATTAAGCATGCACGTGATTCTAAAAGAACAAATGCTCACTTCTAAGAATCTCAACCAATCATATTGATTTCATCCTTCTAACAAGATGTTCTTGAGAGATTTTTTTAAAACTATCGCATTGAATACCAAGTACACATTATGGTTTAGCGATATTGACGAGATTTTGTCATGAAATCAAGTCACACTCACGTGGAGATGCTTTTGGATTGCAATACTTAATAACCACTTTGCATTTAATTAATGTTAATTCTCATTAACCTCAAGTATTTGACTTGTTTGCAAAATGCAAAGATCGCATGCATCTATTAAGCATGACTTTTTTTTGCTTTATATCCAATAGTCGTATGTAAATAACGAATTTTATGTGCTAATCTTGCCATGGAATTTTTGGGAAATAATTTAAATATTTATTGACATTCATTAATTCATTAATTAATAAATTAAAGAAGCCACAAGCTGTCTGTTTGTATTAAAGCAATCCCAAATGATTCACTGGAACTTTTATTTGTAAACGATTCAGCCAAAAATCGTAATAAAATATTGACAGTTCTAACAGCGTATCTACTTATCTAAATTAAGTCAATAAAACTTCCTCAATTCGTAATCGACGCACTATGGGCCAGAAATGGAAAATTTTTCCAAAAATTATTTCTACAGCTTATATGATAGTTCTTATTATGCCCTACATTTACGTCCTTAAAACTTTGCTCAAGTCGACAGCATGTCCGAGATATGGCACTTCAAAGTTGGTCAGACGACCATTTTCACGTTACATTGAAAATGCTCTCACCAGATACTGGATAGATGAATCTCCTTCAAATTTTTTTTGTTAATAGCTTTAAATAGTTACTTTGTTTTAAGATATAAACAATTGCAAATAACTTTGAAAAATTTTGTGAAAAACTAGATTTTTCTCAAAAACCACGTGTTCGTCATACTTTCGTTTGTGTAGGTCTTCACAAGCACAACCAAAGTTACTAATTTCTTTTTTATATTAAAGATTACATCAAAAGCTATAACTTTTGCATACATGTCGTATAATTTTAACAAAGTTTTGATAGTGAAAAAAAAATTTTTTATAAAAAAAACAACAATTTTTTGACAAAAATCGCTGTAGTGCTTCAGGGATACCCATGGTAGTGGAATTTTATTTCACATTTAGAAAGCTCTCTAGATATGCTATCAATTAATGCAATAAAATGAACAAGTGTTCTCTTGGCAAAGAGCACTTTTTTGACTCTGAAAGTCGTATGTCGAGCAAGGTCAAAAAAGAAAAATAATCATAAAAATTTCAGTTTTAAATAAAATTTAATTTTTTTAATTTAGATTGATAGATCTTTTTAAAACGCGTCTTTTGAGTATAAATATGTTATAGTTTTGTCAAGTTTCGTGATCATTTTTTTAAAAAAATAGTTTTTTTCAAAAAAAAAATTGAAAAATAAAGTATTTGACTTTAGAATTTTATAAAATGCATCTTTTTGTCATTTTTTTCACTACTTTGTCTAGTTTTGCTCCTAGTTTTTTTCCTAAACATAAATCAATAAGAACTTAGCATAATTGAAGCCATTTGGAGGTTAAATTGAGTTAAAAATCGTTTAAAATTTTTGTATTTCTCAAATAGTTCTTTACACAAGTATCTAAGATATAAAGTGTTGCATAGTTTTGAAAAGGTATTGAAATTTCCAATATGTTAACATGAAAAGTTTAGGAAAATTTTCAAGTAATATAGTCAATTTGGGTAAAAAACGCATTTTATATATGCTAGTTTTTAATGTTTTTCGTTTTTCTCAGCAAAGACTTTATGAAAAACTCTCAAAGTTTGCACTTTTATTTGTTATATAAATGTTAATGACTCGTAAAAGTTTTGGAATTTTCCATTGAGTTTTTCATTAGTTCTCCTAATCTGAAATTTTCACTATTAAATTTTCGTTTTTCTCAACAATTGCGATTTTTTATTTATAAATAAATATCTTATTTTGTTTCATTTTTCAATATCTTTTCATTGATATGTAACAATCTACAAAAAAATTAAGACTAAAGAGAAATGAATAAAAAAGTGTCAAAAATGTATGAAAATTCTACGCTATTTTAATTTTTTAAGCCTTTTATGGTTAATTTTACTAAGTTTTATAAGAGTGTTATACCTTTTTTTGCAAATGTATAGCGAGACAAAAGACAGTTCCATATGAAGAAAACCAGATATTAGTTTTAATGCTATTTAAGCTATAATATTAAGCTTTTTCATTTACTTTTGTTATAAATGTTTCATGTAATTAATAGCAGCCTGAAGATATAATTTAAAGCTTTTAAATAATTTAATTTTAATAAATTCAAAATTTTTGGTTGTCGCCAACTTGAAGCTTATTTGACTTCAGTTGTGCTTAGCGTAGACTCATACGAATTTTGGTGGATGAACGTCTTAAGCTATACATTTGCAAAAAAAGGTATAACACTCTTATAAAACTTAGTAAAATTAACCATAAAAGGCTTAAAAAATTAAAATAGCGTAGAATTTTCATACATTTTTGACACTTTTTTATTCATTTCTCTTTAGTCTTAATTTTTTTGTAGATTGTTACATATCAATGAAAAGATATTGAAAAATGAAACAAAATAAGATATTTATTTATAAATAAAAAATCGCAATTGTTGAGAAAAACGAAAATTTAATAGTGAAAATTTCAGATTAGGAGAACTAATGAAAAACTCAATGGAAAATTCCAAAACTTTTACGAGTCATTAACATTTATATAACAAATAAAAGTGCAAACTTTGAGAGTTTTTCATAAAGTCTTTGCTGAGAAAAACGAAAAACATTAAAAACTAGCATATATAAAATGCGTTTTTTACCCAAATTGACTATATTACTTGAAAATTTTCCTAAAATTTTCATGTTAACATATTGGAAATTTTAATACCTTTTCAAAACTATGCAACACTTTATATCTTAGATACTTGTGTAAAGAACTATTTAAGAAATACAAAAATTTTAAACGATTTTTAACTCAATTTAACCTCCAAATGGCTTCAATTATGCTAAGTTCTTATTGATTTATGTTTAGGAAAAAAACTAGGAGCAAAACTAGACAAAGTAGTGAAAAAAATGACAAAAAGATGCATTTTATAAAATTCTAAAGTCAAATACTTTATTTTTCAATTTTTTTTTTGAAAAAAACTATTTTTTTAAAAAAATGATCACGAAACTTGACAAAACTATAACATATTTATACTCAAAAGACGCGTTTTAAAAAGATCTATCAATCTAAATTAAAAAAATTAAATTTTATTTAAAACTGAAATTTTTATGATTATTTTTCTTTTTTGACCTTGCTCGACATACGACTTTCAGAGTCAAAAAAGTGCTCTTTGCCAAGAGAACACTTGTTCATTTTATTGCATTAATTGATAGCATATCTAGAGAGCTTTCTAAATGTGAAATAAAATTCCACTACCATGGGTATCCCTGAAGCACTACAGCGATTTTTGTCAAAAAATTGTTGTTTTTTTTATAAAAAATTTTTTTTTCACTATCAAAACTTTGTTAAAATTATACGACATGTATGCAAAAGTTATAGCTTTTGATGTAATCTTTAATATAAAAAAGAAATTAGTAACTTTGGTTGTGCTTGTGAAGACCTACACAAACGAAAGTATGACGAACACGTGGTTTTTGAGAAAAATCTAGTTTTTCACAAAATTTTTCAAAGTTATTTGCAATTGTTTATATCTTAAAACAAAGTAACTATTTAAAGCTATTAACAAAAAAAAATTGAAGGAGATTCATCCATCCAGTGACTGGTGAGAGCATTTTCAATGTAACGTGAAAATGGTCGTCTGACCAACTTTGAAGTGCCATATCTCGGACATGCTGTCGACTTGAGCAAAGTTTTAAGGACGTAAATGTAGGGCATAATAAGAACTATCATATAAGCTGTAGAAATAATTTTTGGAAAAATTTTCCATTTCTGGCCCATAGTGCGACGATGGTAATTTCCCAAAAAAGTGCAGATTTATTTTTAGATCAGTCAATTTGATATTCACTCTACTCATTAATGGTTATGAGATTCAATTTACTGTATTATCGTCATTACATGCTAAATGATATGTACTTTAGAATTTAAACTTAATTTTCAATTGTGTTATGGACTTTGACTTCAAATTAGCATGACTAAAAGAATATGAAGCTTGAAATTAGATTGATTGATCATTAAAAGCTGGATTTATTGTTTTATTCTAAGAAAAATGTCGGAAATTTTGATAAAGGATCAACATTGCCTAATTTTTAAATTAAGAGTTATTGGCATTGTGGTTTATTGATTAATGTTTGTGTTGACAAACTCTTTTAATTAAAGGAAAAAAATTATTGCGAATAAGCTGGAACTCTAAAGTCTTGAGAATTTTGCGAATGCTTGTCATATCGACAAAACTCCATGTAATGAATAAGAGATCGATCGTTGGTAGGAATCAGAACCAACACCCTTAGGAAAGACAGGTTACAGATATTCAAATTGTTGTCAAACCACTCGGCCACAGAAACCTTATTCTCGTATGACAGATTCGTCTACATTGCAATGAGCAATTTATAGTTAAATTACTGACAATTAAAAAATAAAAGCGTTCAAATTGACTTTTTAATCACTGTTAGATTAATCTTTCTTTGTTTTATTTGAGACATGTCATTAACAAAGGTTCAAAACTGATCAACTTAATTTTGATAATTTAAAAAATTTGATCAGTATCGCACCCTTGATCAACACTTGAGTTCTGCTTCAGATATTAGAATTAAAAACATTTTCAGAAGCTTCTCCAAAACTTATTAATCTATGTAATAGACATATCAAATTGTTCATTCTATATCAATTTTCAATGCATTGCGGTCCATTAAACCAATCACATGCAATGTAGAAAACAAATCACTTAAATTTTACCCTGCTCATATTAAATTAAATCATGTGTGCATAATTATTGTACAAATATAATATTATGTATTGAAAAAAATTTACACTTTATTTATTGATTCAACTTAACTAGGCTCTATTACTGATGAATGCCAATGACGTTTTATTAAACTTGAAATTGTAGCCTACTAACATTCAACTGATTGCAGCTCAATGTAGTCCACTGACTTTATTTGTATTTATGAAATTTTCTTGGATTTCTTAGAATTTATTGTATGTTTAACTATCGACTAGATTTGTACCAGAGCGGTCAATTTGGAACTGTCTCATCTAATTCAATTTTTACGTAAATTCCTAAAATTTTGTAACAACTTTTTTTATTCAGCAATAATTAAAAGAAATGTAACAAAACTTTTAAATTAATAATTTTGGCAATTGATGCTTATAAAACGAGACAGACGTAGTTTTAAGTTACGTTAAATAATTCATTGCGTTTCTTCGAAAATTGAATTGTACAAAAAAAGGTTCAATAGAGTCATATTTATAAGAATTTAATTACAAATATTCAATTTACACATAAAGATTATTCAGAATTTATATCTCAAGGTGTTGCAGGCTATAAATTTCGAAATAGTGATGGAAATCGGTCGAATTAGATTGCATTTCTGTAGAACATAAAACTTATCGTTAATAACTTTAATTGCATATTTTAAAACAACACTAGTAGACAAAAAAGTCGATTTTATTTTAATAAAACTATCCAGCGACGACGAACAATGTTCCGAGCACAAAAATGAATTGGTCGAAACCCTGAAAAACTTTATAGTTTTGTTGAATTGCTTAAAAGCAACCGAAACTAGCGACAGAATTTTCTTAGCATTACGATTTAATAGCTTAAAACTTAAAATCACAGCAACACAAACTTTAGCTATTTTAAAGGACTTAATCATTGGCGATTCAACTTTTTTTGTAGATTCATCTCCTCTTTCATGTTCATTGGATCAAACAAAATATTTTTTTTTATTCACATTACGATTTTTTTTCTCTTTGCCGGTGAGATTCTTATGTAATATTTCTCTATAAGCATGATTTTTTTGCAAAATGCATTAACTAATTGAAATTTTTAGCATGCTACTCTAGTTTTTTTTTTGTATTAAAGTAAGTAAGAGTTTTTTGACCCAGTAGCATTTTCAATACACGTGCTTAAACTGGTTATTACTTATAAGTTCATTTGGCTTTTTAGTATTTAGTTTTTAAATTTATTAATTTTGAATCTTAGAAGAATAGAAATTATTAAATATAATTTTTATAATTAATTTAAATTAAGGTTTAAATTTAATAGGAGGTTTACTGTGGTGAAATTGATCATATGGAAGTAAGGACCAGACAACTGATTGATTGTCTAAAGTTGGTCAAAAATGATAGAAGGAGATTCAGATTCTCCTTTTGAAATTGGAATTTGAACAAAAATGAAAAAAAAAAAAATAAGAAAAATAAGAATTGACTCTACAAACACTAAATTAACAAAGTTCAATTGAAACTAAGTTTTTTTTTAACGTGCTCAAAACCATTTTTCTTTATGTTTATTAAACGCTCTCGCGAAAATATTTGACTATAAATGAGAAAATGGTCTTGAAATTATTGATGAACTCGATTCTCTCTTGTTCATGAAATGGCAAAGGGATTTCCCCAAAATTGACAAAAATTCAAAATAAAGTTATGAAAAAAAAAAAAAATCATTTAATATCGAATCAGTTCGAAAATATTTGTAAATTACTTAATCTGTGCATAAATTAATATTTTTCAACGGCCTTTCACATTGTCCATGATATTCATCTTGTTTTCTTTCCGAGATTATAACTTATTTTGAGATTATCGTATTCAAAAAAATCAGTCAATAGCTCGCTGATTTATAAAATTTTAGTTTTGATCTGATTTGCAAAATAAAAAAAATTATTGGATTTGAAAATTTCTAAAACTAGAATTAATAAATTTTCAAAATCATTGATATTTTTTAAAAATTTTATACATTTTAATTTTTAAAAATCAAAAGAAACTAAAATTTTAAAATTTTGTAGTTGATATTCAATTAAAACAAATTAGAGCAATTAAAAATACTTTTAATATTCTCAATTCTGAAAAAATAGTTGTAATTGTCATTAAGTCAATTTAAATTTTACTTTTTGGAACTTAGAATTTTTTTTTTGAATGAATTTTTATTTTTTGCAAATATTTTTTTTTGTTAAATTTCACAAATGTTTTTTGTCCTTACACAATCACTAATGTTCACTTTTTATAATTTTCACAAATCCAGTTATTGAAACTTTATTAAATAACAAAAAATTTTAAAATTATATATTTTAAAACCTATGATTTTTTGTTTCAAGTTTTAAAAACTTTAACTTTTTAATTTTCTTAATTTTTTTTTTAATTTTCTTAGATTCACCAAGAACAATTCTATTTTTAAGAACAAAAATAAGGAAACTCGCGAGATGTTGTCGATTCAAACTCTCGAGATATTATGGTAGGATGCGATCGTTCTTCACCGGCTTTTTATATTTCTTAGAGAAAAAAAAATCTTTATTGCTTCAATGCTGCTTTAAAACTGCGCTATTTTTTCTCATGATCACTATGCACAATATTTTTTTTTCTTCTTCTATTTATCAACAGAACTCGCATCGCTTCTCATTTTGTGCTTTTCTTTGCTCCGTAAAATTGTAAAAAAAAAAATCTCCAGAAGTTAAGTTAAAAGCATACGACACACACGAGATGAATGATCGACTGGCGAACAAGTTAAGCTACGCTAAACGATCAAGCGTTACTTCTGCATTTGCGATTATCTCAAATTTAAATTGTGCGAAAAGTATCATGCGCTTCCAGCTGAGAGACTTTTTCTTGTGTTTCTCTCCTCTCATTTAAATTTTTTGTTATTCTCGGGAGCTTTTTTGTAAGTTTTTCTCTTTTATTCATCCTTACAGTCAATAATTTTTTTTGAGCTTAACACGCGAAGTTCTTTCTCAGTAAAATCGGCTGTTTAAATTTACTATTCTTTTGTTTCTGCTGTTGTTTTTTTCTCCATCAAAAGATTTGTTTAAAAAATTGAGTAATAAACTCGGATGCCGATTCCACAAGAATCTAATTGCTTTTTCTTTAATACCCAAGAATTACGCAAATGTGATGGGGTTTTTTAAGCATGGAACGGTTTTTAGGTAAATCACGTAGGCAATTAAACTATCACTTTAAAAATAAACTTTACTGCTAAGTTTGTTGTTAAAACTGAGTGATACTTAAGGTACTAAGATATATTAAGTATGATATCCCATAATAAGTTAAAGGTAGTATTTAAAGCCTCCTTCTATGGGATCGTTTAGGTTTTAATGAAGATTACAATAAACAAATAAATCGCCATTTTTGATTACGCCAATTTAAAAATTGGTATGAAAGTCAACGTGGTTTAGAACGGAATGATAGAAAAACAAATGACACGTATCCTTTTTATCTTCAATGACTCCATCTGATATATAGACTTTCAGTTAAAATTCCCAATTGGAACTGCTTAATCATAAGTTTTATTAATAGTAATGAAGATATTTGATGCGATCATTGTTATTTATTTTCGTTATAAAGATGATGAGAATTTTAATATTTACCCCAATTATCACTTGCAGTTATTTTTTTAATCTATTAGATGTAGTTTGGTGTAAATTGAGGTGATAATTAGATAAAGAATTTTATTTTGAAAAGTACAGACATTTCTTACATTTATTTTGAAATTCTTTTAAAACCTTAGTAAAAGGTCGTTTACTTGGGGTTTGTCTAATGCTGTGGGATTCTAAAATCAAATGACTCGATACCTTTTCAATAAATGAGTCGAACCCTCTTTTCTTTAAATTCATAATTTTTGTAAAACGAACGCTTTTGTCAAAAATCTTCAATCAATAAAATGAAGTAAAATATAATTTAGCTAGTCATTTTTCACAGGAATAATGACAGACAATTTATTCTTCGATAATATTCATATTTTAATTCTTAGCAAATTTTTATGACATATTAAGTAAATTAATTTATCCTGCATATTAAAAGTCATTGGCAATCGACTTAGTGAGAAATAAAACAAATCATCTTAGTCAAAATAAAAATAAAATTGTCATAAAATCTTCACTTTATAGAGTCAGAAGATAACATTATCACTTAAAATTACAATGTTAAGAAACTTACAGTAGAATTAACAAGTTTTTAATCTCTTTTAACATTTTAATCAATTTAAAATATTAATAGTTTTTAAGGTTATATGCAAAAGCTATCAGATGATCCTAAAGTCAATATCAGACGTTCAAGTTCAAGTAAAATTATTTCATTAACATCTTAAGTTGAACCTAAGAATATATTTTAAATTTATGAATATAAAATTTGATTACAAATAATCTAAAAACGGATGCTCGAAGTAATTTAATCATTAAATCTCGAGGTTTTTGGTTGCTAATGGTGATCAATAATCATTAATTCAAATACATTTTTTTGAGAAATTATTCAAAAGGAATTTACGTAAAGAACACTGGAAAGAAAAAACATTAATTTATGAAAAAATAACGTTTGGACTAATCTTTTTTTTTGCTTGAATTTAGTCTGATTATTAATACACAAGTTAAACTATAGAGCCTGTAGAAGCACATCACTTGGCTGGAACAATCTATCATTATTATTATTAAACCAAAGAGCGTCTATTTAGTAACCAAGATTAATAGATATAGAATTTGCAAGTGTAACGAATTTTCCAATATTAAAAATTTTCATTTATGAACAATTTCCACAGACTTTTCCATAGATAGCGCCACTTAGCTCACAATTCCTTATCATCACAAAAGGCGCATTCAAATATGAAAACCCGGAAATGAATATTCAGATAAATTAAAATTGATTTCTGATAAGAAATTAATTACATTAATTCCCCAAAATTACTGGTGTTTACTGCAGCTATAATAATAAAATTGTAAATCAAACATTTTATGCAATTCAGTAATAGAAAATACAAAATAAAACAATAGTAATAATTTTTGATAAAAATGTATTGACGTTGAATAACGCAATAGATAATGCTTTTTGACCTGAATTCTGTTGAAATTTCTTCACAGATAAAACTGACAATTCAAAAGAAAATTCAACTCATATTTAACTTTTGTTTATTGATCAAACTCTATAAGCATTTACATAAATTCTCAAAATTCCACATAAGCCTCCCAATAATCTAGTAATTGCAGAAAATACTATTTCTGATTTTTCTTTGCTTTATTTTCATATTTTTACCTGCTACCCAAGAGTAATGACGTCATAGAAATAATTCTTCAAAGTTGTTTGAGAGTTCTTGTAAAACTTTTTTGTTACGGTTTCACTAATTTTTCAAATGACGTATTAAGACTGGACTAGTGTTAAGGGGAACGATCTTCAAAACATTAGTAAACAACAGAACCGATTGGTAGTTTAAGCAGAACATATTAAGATTAATTGAGAAAAATCAAAAGATAAAAGAACAATATTTCAATTATCATAAGATTTCAAAGCATCTGGAATCATAACATCGATGCCAGAAACACAAACTTCATTTTAACACTTTCAATAAGAGCAATGCTACTTTTCTGCGAGAAAAATCTCTGTGATTGACATGAGAAAATGTAGCAATGAAAATTTCTTTAAAAATACTTATGTAATATATATTGAGAATACTCATCATTAAAGTTAAGTTCCTCAAAAAAATGTAGTTCCTTAATTTTTGTAAATAATTTCTCATGCAAAAAAACTTCAAATGCATTTATTGATTTTAATCATAAACTATAAAATTCAACTAAAACATGTGTTGTAATAAAGGGAGCAGCATCATATTGACGCAAAATGCAATGTGCAATACATTTTGTTACATATTCAGGCAGTAAATATCTAAGATGCAACATTTATCAAACCATAGAAATAACGCCCAATACATCATTTTTCTTAGAAAATTAATAACTTTATCCAGGATAGGAGTAAGTAAATAGACTACAAAGAGAAAAAATACATGTTAAATTTGCAGAGCTGATCTCCATATGAGTTATGTCTGCTAATGCAAGAGGGTGCTTCTGTCGACGACTCCTCTTTTAGGTATTATGTAGGTTTATTTTAATGTGAACTTGAGTTTAAAACAAAATGTTGTCTACCCGACTCTGTTCTTGTCTCCTGATTTCACCCTTGCCATTTTAAAGTAAGTTTAACATAAGTTCACTCGACATGCTTCCTGTCTTCTACATAAACCTATGACAGTAATATTAAATCAAATATTTGTGTCGGTGGTGCAACAAACATTATATAGTTTGAATAGATTAGAAATTTAGAATGGTTTAAGATGTTTCTGACTATTGCATTAAGATAAAGGTCATAAGCTGAACTTTTGATGTATTCAATTAATAGAGCAGCAAATTGTCTCTGAGCTACCACAGGCAAGTTATCAGATGATGTTGATTGATCACAAGTAAGCCATAAGGATTCTGCATTAAAATTATCAATTTAAGAGCAATGAACCGGCATTTTCAAAAAAGTCAATAATGCTTCTGATGAATGAAATTGGGCCAAATCAGAAGCAGTTCTTGTTAAGTCATTGTCTGTTCTAAACACATATCCAGATTACTTAACTGATTTCAAAGAATATTTAACTTTAAAAAAGCAATCTGTGTATGCATTTCAAACTTGTCAGTCCTAAAGGTCGAATCTCATGCTGAGAGCATTACTGCTATTATCAAATAATTTTGTAAAATCCAATAATAAATTTAAAACTTCCAAATAATATCTAAAATTAACCGAAAATTTAAATAGCATGAGTAAACATGCACTCAACAATAAAGGACATGCCTTGAATTGAAAGTCACGAGACTTGCTTACGTAGCTTTACAAGCGAATTTGTCACACTTTAATTTTGAATTAGTTTCTTATAGAAGAAATGTTAAAAGTTCTTCTGTTGGACTATAGCAGTTACATCCGTGTTTCCTATATATAAAAACTAAAGAATACAATGTATGTAAAATAAGTAAAAATAATCAATTACACACCATTTATCACGTGTGAATTGTGTAATTTCAAAGGTTTCGAGATTCAGTATGTGAATGACCACAACGATTAAATATTTAAGAGTATTTCATCAGTGGTAATTAGAGGGTTTATCAAACTGCTAATGACGATTTAGGAGGACTCACATAAAATATTTCAGAAATTTTCTTAAACTACGGCTTCGTGGCTAATGTCCTTGGAAGGAATAAAACTTACGCCTTAACAAAAGAGGTTTAAAAATATAAGGTCTGCTGCAAAATCACTAGCATCTAAAAGGTCTCATTCTTGTACGGGTAAATTTGCCTACACATGGCTCAATATCCAAGCTTTTACTTTGCTCAGACATCAAACTTTCCAACAAAGACTGTCCCCTTATCTTAGTAGAAAGCTTCAACCAATCATACAACCTGTTCCTTAAATCATATTGATGTGAAATTCTCAATCGTTATTAGAATGACGTCATCGATAAGCAACTAAGCATGCCAAGTCCCAACATCATTGACTGTAAAGCGATTTAGTCAAAAATAAATTGTTTATTTTCCCAAATGGCGTCGCTTGCCTCCCTCATCTTAATTATTATCTAAGGAGCATTCAGATCATTTACTTTTACATGTTAATTTGACTCGCAAAAAAAATAATAATAATAAGCCACCAATGTCGAAAATATGAGAAGCAATCCACTTCCACGCATACATCGATTTTCATTCTGCTCGCTCGCTCAGTCGTCTTTATCATCCACAATTTATTTTATTTTCACTCACCACCACCCTCGGAAAAAAGCGCAATGTATGAACAAAAAAAATATGCTATAAATTGGCCGTATCGTGGGGAAATGTTCAACAGTTGAAATTATTCAGTGATAGTGAAAGGATCACAAGAAAAACAGAAATACGAAATATAAGAATTTATTAATTTTTGTGAGAAAAGAGCAATAGTTAAATTAATATTTTTAATTTATTTCAACCCCTCAGTATAAAAAAGCAAGTAAGAAAAATTATAATTTCATGAAATATTCATAACGTGTAAATAAAAGTAATGCATAAAACAAATTGTTAATTGCTGTTTAGTTGACCTGTGACAATATATTATTCCTTTATGAAAACACATTTTTCACGGTTAAATTGGTCTTTAGGTGTCATAAAAAAAAAGATATCATAAAGATCTACGCGATATGAATTTTTAATATTTAATCTTCTAATGAATATTGTGAAATTGTTCGCAAATTATATGAATTTTTGTGCTAAAATTTAAAATTTAAAATTATTTATATTTTAATATGGTTGGTATTGCTGAAGATGATCAATTAGGGATTTACATAACATGACTAGGAAAATTTTACGAAAAAAATTTTATTAAGTTTTTAGTGAATTTTTAACATTAAAGTAGATTTTAAACCATTTAAGAAAAATCAAATGTCAATTGCCATAAATGTGATCAAAATTAAGATTTTAAGATTGAGATTTCTGAATTTTGTCCTCGAGTACTTTTTAAGTTAATTTAAGTGTTCTTCTTGTTTTCTAAAACAAATATTGAAAACAAAAAAAGAACATTCTAAGCAATTTGAACTTAATTCAAAACTAGTTGAGGCATTTGAAAAAATTAGAATTATTCAATGCTCATCAAATTTTTAATTTTTAATGAAAGTATTGTCAGAACTAAAATCAAAATGTCATAAAAATGAAAATTTATTTTTGTAAGGACTGTCATTCAGCAGATTGTTAGGATAATAAACTCATAGAAATTGAGTTTTTTTTTTATTGTTATAATTTGACAAATTGAAGTCCATGTGAGAATAAACAAAATCAGATATTGAAAACGCTTTTACAAAATTGAAATTTGAACAAATTTGTAACTATTAATACTTTTTAAAATGGACTATTCTTTGCAAAGTAAAGAAGAGAATCAACAAATAATAATAATAATTTAGTGTTTCACATTTATTCCTTTCTCCTACCCCATTCAATACTTAAAAAATAAAAATCAAATGATTTGATTCAAATCATCATAATCAAATTAATATTCAAATTTCTATAAACTCTTTAAAAACACATTTTACCCGCAAAGCTTCACAAAGTCCTTCAAATTCATTCATAAAATTAACACGACAAGAAACAATGAATGAGTTTGGAAGGAAATCTAGCGTAAAAATATATTTCCAGTGACGAAGTTCACAAGAAATTGCGTAAAACTATTTTCAGTGCTATAAAGCCATCTGTTTAGACAACTTTTACATGAAAAATCCTTTTACAGTCGCGCGTCATGCAATCCTTAGAAGAAGAAAAAAGTTTCCATATAAATTCCATTGTAAAATAAAGTGACTAAACATAATTCTACTTAATTTATGACCACAAAGAATTTTTTTTCTTTTTAATTAAACAATTTACCCTCAATGGACTGATGAGGGTATTTATTGAACTGTTAACTTTCTTTTCCTTCTTAAAAATTTCTTCTTATTTTTGTGCGGTTAAAAAATAAAATTAATTTACTGGGCTATTAAAACTTTCTAATCTGATGTGATTAAAAGCAGTTTCAAGCCTTTTAAAAGTATCAAAAAGAAGCTTTTTTTAAATGCCACATTTATGGTAAAAGGATTATGGGAAATATGATGTAGGAAGAAGCACAGCGGAAAGTTTGTCAAGTTTTGTTTCGAAATAACATAGAAAATTTATTTTCTTTTTGTAAGGAAATTTCTTTACTCACTCGAAATAAGAACGATGTAGAAGAAGCTTGGGGTGTTCCTATATTAAGCCTCGTAAAAATTAATTTGTGTCAATTTTTGATAGATATAAACGATTGCAGGACTCAGAAATCTCAGCACTTGTAATTTCAGTTTATAGTCAACCCTCGCACTAATTTCATTGCTGTTAATAATTGTCAAAACTTTATTAATTAATATTTCCATACCTTTACCAAATTATTAACATCATTAACAGTTTTTTCGACGTCATTAAGCTGACCAGAATGTCAAATAAGTTATTAATAAATAATATTTTAAAACTATAGACAAATTTTGAAGGGTAATTTACTGATGACGTTTAAGTAATTTGGGCGAGATGGGGTGTCAAAGTAATTACTAGTTGACAAACTAGCTGAAAATTGAAAATCATGGATTGAGACTCGAACTCTTATTCTATAATTGTTGGTCGCATGTTCTATCCAATGACTTATCAGAGGTTAATGACTGTCATAATATGAATAAAACTCCAATAAAGTCGCAAGCAATTTCAGAATTCTATTTCAAACTTCGTTCATCCCAGTTTAATTAGGGTCATCGTTAATCATTGAATCTATTTTTAATATTATTTTAAAAACAAATATATATTTTTCATGTGTCGAAATTGCCATCAATAAATCAAACATTATCTTAAATAAACAATTTATTGAAAATGTTAATTGATTCATTGATTGCCAACCGATAAGCTTCAAATCATTTTTCCCAATTATGACAATAAATACCGTTGTGCTTATGGGACAAATATACACATAATATCATTTTAATTGCAATAAAAATTTTCGTAGAATATTATGTTATTTACCTTTATAGTGAAAAAAGGCTTTTATTGAATCTGCATGTTTGACGCTAGTAAATAAAATAAATGATGAGAATTAAGGGTTGTTTCTGAATGGCGAAATTGCGATTACCAAAACTGTTAATTTTTGGTCTAATTTCAAAAATCTACTTTAGTTAAACAGCAATGACCCCGAGTCTAATAATTAAACTATTATATTTTTTTGTTTGAATTATGAAACAAGACTGAGAATCAGATAAACTTAAGAATAACGACGAATCGTTGATATTGCTTTGCTATGGCTAGATAACCTTAATTTTATATTGCAATAATAATGATAAGATCCTATTACAAGGAAGATAAACTCAAACAAATATTAAAAAAATATTTTAAACACAAGTCAAAATTTACCTGCACGTCCACTAACCGACAAGAAATAACCTTTTAAAAAAATCTTTCATAGTTTTAAAATTAACCGTCACCGGATCCATTAATGTATGATTTCACAAATGACAATCCCATTTTTACATAAATTATATATCAATAATCCCAAATTATTATTAACTGTAATTAAAATTTTCATTGTAACTTGATAATCAAGTGGTTGTTAAATAAAGTTTATATATTTATCATTTAATAAACAAAAAAGAAAGATTTCGTAGAAAGTGAATGAAAATAATTATTTAAAATTTACTGTCAAACCACAATCGGCTTGAATGTCAATCAAATTGCCCAAGTTTCAAAAATTTGATGAATTTTTTTTTAAGAATTGAGCGATGCAGATATGACATAATGCAATCAAACGTTTAATATAGTCTTAACATTATACGGAAAATTAATGTTGACAATTGAAAATATCAAAAAGAAATAATTGTCCTTGACATCTTATAAAGAAGCAATAATGGGAACTATTAAGATAACAGCAGTTAAACGAATTATTCAGAAGTGGTCTTAAGTTAAATGACTTAAAATATTCTTAAAATTGCAAATAAACACAACACAAAACCTGATGACATTCAACTTCCTTACCATTTGACTTGACATCAACTTCTTTTAATGTTCAAGGAAAGACTAATGTATCATATTATTATACAATATGTACTGAGAGAAGATGATAAGAAGACAGTAATACTTTTTATAGTTGATATTGATTAGATTATATCTACATTACTTCCAGAACTCTATGTGTACATGCATATGAGCGATATAAGTGTATCACTTTTCAACTTTTTCATATTCATATCCACTCACCCACAATGTATTTTAGTTAAATTCAATTTGTCACTCTGCATGTCACGTACAATTTGACTTATGAACAACTTTCCATTATTCATAGGTTAAAAAAAGCAACCCACAGAAGATGCAGTCATTAGCCACAAAACGTTTATCAATTGCCGTATTGGTTGTCATGTTAATTTCCATCGCAATAATGGAAAGTTCAGCCAATCCCAATCCAGACCATAGTGGTGATCCCAACAATGTCGTCGATGCTCTCCGATACCTTCAAGACATCGAGTCAAAACATGCTCAATTTGCAAGGCCAAGGTATACATTTCAATAGTTTCTTTTTTTCTCTTATTTTCATTATTAATCAATATATCCGGAAATGCTTGTTGCTTTATAAATGTAGATTATTCCTACTACCATTTTATGTAATGAATTTTTTATTAAGTTGCAATATTCAATGCGGTGAAATATTTTTTTTTTATTCCATTTGCACTCTTCTGTTTATGCTTCTACCTCTATCTCGATAAAGCCACGATGATGAGTGTAGAATGCTTTTATTTTTATCCGTGGATCGATGATGAAAGAGAAAACTTTTCATTATTTATTAATCCACAATTCACACTTTTTTATGTGTTTCATTTTTTTTTTAAACATCCTGGAAATTTTATTTTTGTGCATTTTTGCGAAAGATAATCTTACTTTGACTAGTTTGTTTGATTACAATTTTAATACTAGTTGAAAGTTGGAAATGCATGCAAAATTTTAATTAATTTTATCATATTGAAGAATATATTTAAAAATTGGCATGTCAACTAGTTTAGTTTTGTAGTCAATGTGTTGATTTGAGTTATTAAAAGGACAGAGTCAGCTATAGCGGATTAAACTCAAGTTCGTGATTTTCTAATTGGTTTAGACTCGAGAAGTCTAGGAATTACATTAAAAAGCTTTCCATTGGAATCTTTACTTGACTCAAATGCCAAGTCCGTACATCAAGCAGACATTCTTTCATCACTGTTCAAGTCACTTTGCCAAGCATGTTCAATCCAAACATACTTCCACATCTTTATCTTCTTGTTGATGTCTTGTCGACCTGGTTTTTCTAAAAGCTTTTCTTACAATGTCCAATCTTCTGGATGTTATCTAAGTCTAATCGTACTCGATCGTTTATTTGTTACTACAGTATTGACTATGAGTAAAGTTTCAATCCTAGACACTGGGCTTATTTGAAAAAGTAATTTAACTGGAGAATGTCCTACTTGATATCGAGTTTAAAATCCAAGATCTCAAAAGTAAGACTTTTCAAGACTTTATCTAGTGTAAAAAGATTTATATATCAGAGCTTAGTGCCAATATGAGGCTTGGCTTATGAACTCGATTTTGACCAAGAAGCAGACTTCTAATGTATAAAGAGCAACACATCGAGAAAAATTGAATTCTACAGCCTTTTATGCTCGGTTATATTTGAAACCCAATATTCAGTGCCAGCTTTCAAATTTTAAACAAGAAGCTTAACAATAAAAACGCGAAACAGCGACATAAATTCAATTATTTTCCAAGAGCTTAATTTAGGAGCTGTTTGATTATAACGTCAAGAGTGAGAGTAGGAAAGTTATTAAATATTGTAATTTTCTCATTTTGTGACAATTGAGGGAGGTTAAAAGACCTAGTTTAGATTAATAACTTCAAATCAACCTCGCTAATCGTAGAAATGCACTTTTATTGAATTCAGGATTAATTTTATTTGTTGCTTTTTGAAACTTAATTTTATTATCACTTGTCTACCGCATTTGGGTCACTGTTGCATGTGATGAAATCCCTATGAAAATTAAAAATGTTGTAATACAAATATCATGAAATTAAAATTCATGCTAAACAATAGATAGGACTTTGGCAATAATTTAGTGGACATTTGAATGCCTTTTTGTCTTTTTTTAAACTTAAATTGATGAGATTGTTTTATCCCCCATGAGATCCAATTTGCTATCATGTACTTAAAGCTTCTTTTTATACTAATGAACAATTTGTATCATAAAATTTTAAAGATACATTCAAAGCAGCTATACGGGTCACTCAATTCTCAATAAGATTTTTCTTTTAAATTAAATTTTGAAAATATAAAAAAAATGAAAATCACGTGGTGGATGATTTTTTCTCTCTTTTTCTCCTGTTTTCTTCTTTTTTCTTACATTTACAGACATTATGAGCATAATGATGGAGTATCTATAACCTTTGTTCTAGAAATGCTCGAACAGTTAGATCGCAAACATGCAAGAACACCAAGGTGGTCATTTTGTAAACTTTTTCATTTTTTTCGTTCGCTTAATTTTTAGTGGAAAAATCGTTACATTAAATAAAAATGTAGACGCATGGGTTGTTGTCTGAATGCTTATTTGGCATTTCACGTAGAACTTTTTTTTAGTCGTTATAAAGCTTTTATATGCCAATTAACGAGAATGTGCTATTATCTAATTTATATAGATTCGGAAAGCGTGGAAACAATGACTACTTGACTAAGGAATACACTAATAATGTCCTCCGCTTCATACTGGAAAATCCCGAGGTATGAGATGGACAGTTAATCAACTTAAGTGGCTTGGGGATCGTTCATTAATGATGTCTATCTAGAATTGTTATTGTTAGAGCCCTCAAACCTTTTTTAGCTCTGTGCTTTATTACAGAGCTACTTATAGCTCTAAACTTCAGGATTTTGGAGATGGGGTTGGTTAAGCTCTCTGCCTCCCTATCAATCCTCACAATTACAAAACATTAGACATCACTAATGAACGACCTCATCGCTAGTCTCTTACGTTATCATTATAATTTATATCTTCTTTACAGTACTTCCAGCACCTCCAACAACAAGAAAGCAGCTGAACTGTTTAAATTAATTGCAGAAAAAAATCATTACTTACTGTTTTCTCTCTCATACATGGGCTGGATCTGGATATACACTTGAACCTAATATGTTTATAATTCATTCATTAATTAATTATAATAATAATAATAATATCAACTATTATTAAACAAAATGTAATGTTTCAATAATTGCTGAACTATTCAAATGACATTCAATAAAAAGAGTTGTATGGAACTTTATCTTTAAAATTGATGCAATTGATACTGACGTATTTTTTAGTATGCTTGAACATTCTTGCCATCCTTAGCTTTTGACCTTTTTGATTTAATTTTTGAGAATTACTTGAATTTGAATGATTTTATCCTGAAGATATATCATAAAGCATGGCTGTCTTTGAAATTCGTAGGCACAACGATTGACTGACAAATCGTGCAGATTGTATAAAAATAGCCTGAACAAGACATCGATGCTTCATCAACGGAGTCAATTAAAACTCAAATTTTCAGTATTTGACACTACTTTTAGTTCACTCAGAACCAGGGACTAAAATGTATGAAAAAAATCATTGATGAAAAAAAAATCACTCATTTCAATGAGGAAAAAAATCATGATTTTTTCCATCCTGCGTACATTATTACGTAGAACTTCATCACGTAATGATAATAATTACGAAAAAAAATTTTCATTAACACAAATTTCATTCAAAAATAAATATTTCAAATTTTTCATAAAATTTTCAACTAAATGTGAATGCTTATTGCTGCTAATAGTTTATTCAGATATTGCAACGATCAGGTATGACTATAATAACTAATAAAGGAAGTAATGACATAAATTGGACTCAAATTTCAATAATTTAAGAGAACATTAAGGTAAGAATCAGTGAACCAATGCCTACTATATTTTAATTAAGTTAAAATCTATTTAAGCGAGTATCTGGTTGTTTAAATGACAGATTAAAATATCATTAATCATGGAAGAAGCTAAATTAAAGCGCGAGTGACTTAATAGTGATGAAGTTCTACGTAAAAAATTTTCTTACGTGATTTTTTTCTACGTAATAATGTTCGCAGGATGGAAAAAATCATGATTTTTTTACTCATTGAAATGAGTGATTTTTTTTCATCAATGATTTTTTTCATACATTTTAGTCCCTGCTCAGAACTCATTTTACTTTTTTATTTTTATAACAACTTTAACTAAGTTGTAAGTTTTCTAGTTCCCTAATTACATCCATGTGCTTAAACTTTTCAGGTGTCTTAGTGAAAGTTTCCAGAAGTTCCAACTTCTTTGGATTATTGTCGGTATAGTACATCTTAAATTGATTCGCCAGGCATTGAGCTTCTTGGACAGTCAAGACTTTTGAGTCATATTCACCGCGCATTAAGACAACGCCTTTATCCTTGAATTCTGTGTAATGAACGATATTCAGGCATTCTGGTGCATTTTCTTTATGGACTTGATAGCAAAGCAGTGGAGTAAAATGGATGGTATTGGCTGCAAACTGGAACATGATAAATTCAAAGCCTTGCGATCGAGGAATTGGGAGGATAAAAATTGGATACTTTTTAGCTCTTTCCATCATTAAATCAAACACTTCTGATGGAATAACAGCAGCAATTGAATCTTTAAGTACGTGATATTCAATCCAAATTGCTTTAATCTCCTCAACTGTCTTTCCTTCCATTAACTCGACTTTCATGACATCCTCGAGCTTTTTATATGGCAGCTCTGACTTAGTTTCAATCTTCTTTTTTGGATTCATCAATTCTGAATAGTCTCTTTTCTCCTGTTCTTCCTTTTTTTTTTCTTCATCTTTTGTCTGCTGGATCTTTGATAAAAATTCTTCCGGTGACGTTTTTTGAAGCTTGGCAATCTTAGCTGCATACTTTTCAAAGTATGGATTGTCTGTAAAGATAAGATGTTGCTGTATTTATAGAGTAATAAAGGGAAATAATCGATTTTTACCTTCCTTCATTTTCTCCATCGCTTCTGCTGCTTTTTCATGTAAATTCACTGACATTCTTATATTTCTTGATATTAATCTGCTTCCACTTGTTAAGACTGATCGAAATAAAGCCATAGAACAGTAAATCAACTAGTTTTTAATAGACTTTTTGCTTATTTTTTGATGAATTAAATTAAAAATTAAACTGCGATAAAAATAAAGCAAACTGCAATAATTTGAATTTATTTCAACAGTTATGTTTCTGGGCTATTACAATTATACAAAAACATTTACACAAAAGCTGTTTTCCCCTTAGTTCGGTTTTTAAAAAATAAAAATTAAATAAATTGAGGAGAATGGCTACAATTTCACAGAATGAAGGCTCTAATATGCAGCAGATCGATTTAATGAAGCTGAATATCCAACAGTTATCACAGTTAAAGCAACAACTAGACTCGGTAAGTTGAAAAAATATGAATTTTATGATTTTCAGGATATTTTTTGACATCTGATACATGTGATAAAATTTTTGTGCCTTATTACAGGAACTGACGATTTTTCAAGATTCTCTAGCGACATTGAAGATGGCAAAAGGCAAATTTGCTGCAAGTAAGGAATCTTTAGAGCAATTTAAGGAAGGTTTTGACCAAAAAACTACTCTAATTCCTCTCACTGGATCTATGTAATATTATAAGCACATCCAGTAGAGCCTTTAACTCAATATTGATGTTATTTTAGGTATGTTCCAGGACGTATAAAGGATATTGAGAATGTAATTATTGATATCGGAACTGGATATTATGTAGAAAAGGACCGTGACTCGGCTAAGGACTACTTTAAGCGTAAAGTCGATTTTGTAGGCGAACAAATCGAAAAAATTGAGATTCTCGGGTACGAAAAGTCACAAATTCGTGATGCAATCTGTGAAGTCATTTCTGTTAAACTGCAACAAATGAAGGCACAACTTCCACAAGAGAGTTAAAATAATCAATTGCAAGCAATTTTCTCTTCATTTTCTATTTTTATTAATGTATTTTAATTATTTCTCCTCCATTTATTGATGCATTGTCTTTGATATACCTTTAATAAATCCCCTTTTCATTTTTAAAAATCACTGATCAAAGAAACATTAATAATATTAATAAATTATGAAAAACGCAAAATTTTAAGCCTTTTTATTTAATTTTGGGAGGTTCAGAAATGCATATTTTTGAGGTCTTTGCAGGTCTTTACTTTTGTGTCTACTTGGTTTCTGGATTAAGAACTTTCAACAATTCACCACTAGCTTGCATTTCCTTGATAATATCCAAACCACCTTGAAGCTCTCCATCGACATAAACTTGAGGGTACGTTGGCCAATCACTGAATGTTTTGAGTCCTTGTCGGACTTCTTCATCTTGCAAAATATCGAATGTCTCGTAATCTACTTTTGTGTCGTTCATGATCTGTATTAGAGTTCTTGAAAATCCGCATCTAAAAATAGAATAGTAGTTTGTGGCATTAGAATCAGTGAAATTAAAAAAAATTTGCAAAAACTTTAAAAGCGCAGTTGAGTAAAATCAAGCGGCTTTTAATAATTTGAATGTTGAAACCGTATTAAAGCTCAAAAACCATATAACAGTCATTCAAAACATTTGTAGGGTTTTGACAAATTTTACAGTGTCTTAAAACCATACAAATGTTTTAGAAATTGATCCAGCCTTCAAGCATCCAAAACACGGCGTGGAAACTATCCCAAGTATCCCATATATCTCAAAAATATTCAAAATAATCCCTGAGCCTGTATGCATTAGAATTGAGATATCCCATCATATCCCGAAATTACACGTCCAATACACTAAGGATACGTTGGGATATCTTTATTATCGAGCATACATGCTCAGGATTTTTTTTTGAGACATGTGAGATAAATATGATATTTAGGATAGTTTCCACGCCATGATCCAAAATGAACATTACAGCACAGCATCCCACAAAAAATAAGCTACAAAATCTTCTTCTTCAACTGACTTTTGACCGTATGTTGCTTACGCTAATCAAAAAAATCTAATGCATACTTTGGAGCTTCCCTATTTCCTTTCATGAAAATCATAACGCGTGCCTTATTGATGAGTGCCTTTAAACGGTCTTCAAGTGATCCACTCTTAGTCTCTTCTGTGTTAGAAACTCCAGCCAATGTCTTGCATGCATTTGTTAAATCAGCAATGTCAATTCCGTCGATTCTGTGAATAGCTTTTTGATTTTGGAAGCAGATTACCTGATAAATACATAAAAATATTAAAAACAATTAGAGTAATGAGGAAGATGTTGTGACTTACAGTTGGAACCGCTTCAATCTCATGTTGTTGTGCAATTTCTGGTAATTCTTCAACAGCAACATTCAAAAACTTAACAGACTTATAGGCATCTTGTTTAGCAAGTTGCTCCATAATTGCCAAGATCTGTGAACATTGATCAGCCCACTCTGCGCCATAAAGTACGACATGATTGGTTCCAGAACTATAAAATTACCATAAAAAACAAATAATTATGAAATTTACATCAATTATTAAGCTCAGAAAATCACATTTATGGTTAACTACTTACTTGAACTGTGCTTTATAAGCCTCAGCTGATTCTATCAATGGAACGTTCGGCATTCTAGTAAAATTAATAATTTTGTTTGTTGTTGGAATTGGAAATTGCCGAAGAAAGAGCAACAAAGTGTGAAGTCACCAACCATCATTAAAGATTTGAAAAAAATCATGCCAAAAAAGTGCGGGAATCATTCTATATAAGCTAACAGCTTCAGTTTTGTTCCTTACATCCTCAAAGCTCTTAGACTGACTTTAATTAAAGTTTTTTCAATGCCAACAAATACGTATAGTGCCAGCTGCCTCCGTTCTTAAAGCAGCATAACGGTAGTTTTATTTTTAAAATTTTATTGTACAGTTTTTTTGAAAAAAGTCAGTTGATTTTGTAAGTGTGGCTGATTAAAATGATGATTTCATTTTTGATTAATTATAGCTTTTTAATGAGTCAATACCATGTTATAATTCTGAGTTATTAAAATAAAGATGCTTTGGAAACTCTAAGGTACTTCAAACATGCTCAAACGAGTAAAAAACTCATTGACAATTTAACGAACAAAACTGCATTCCAACGTGGTCGGAATAAAAGCGTATTTTGAAAAGTTCCATGCTACACAAAGGAAAAACAGTCAGTCACTAGTCGTGCTTGAAACAATTTAGTCGTAAAAAGTCTTACTACGCAATTATTATTTTACTGTGAGCATGTGTCTTTGAGGTATTAAAAAATACTCGAGAATACCTAGGAATTTCGGTCATCGCGTAATATGAAATTATTCATTTAACATAAACATGTGAGCTTTCAAATCTCAAGTAAAAAGCTCCAATTATAAATAATTATTGATAAGACAAAAGTGAATTCACGACAAGGAGTTAAAAGAAGGTGAACTACTTCACGAACAGAAGTAGTTAATTATAAAGCTACAATTTAATGTTTTTTCGGTTAATTCAATTGTCGTTTCTAATATTCCCACACGAATGATTAACTTACTTACTTTACTGCTGTTTATTATTATTATTGTTTCATTGAGATTTTTTTCTTTCTTTTCCACATCATTTCTCGTCTAATTTTTCCGAAAAATATCAATAGTAAGTAAGTAGTAAGTGAGTATCGAGAATAAAGAGTAAAAACGGTGAAAAAGATTTTTTTTCTCCAATTATTGATGTATTAGCCAAATCGTATTAAATGAAAAAATGAGATGAAAAGTCACTCGGGGTAAACACTTTGAACGCATTTCAATGAATTGACTCGGAAGGATTATTAAATTGCATTCAGAGTGCTCTTTTGAAAATTTAACGTTTTTTGTAGAATTTGAATTTTAATGTTTTTTGTAGAATTTGAATTTAACGGATTTTGTAGAGTTTGACTTTTAAAATCCAAACAAAATTCAAACATTTAAAAACCGTTAAATTATTCGATGACAATAATTTTTATGTCAGTTCATGTCTTTTGTAGCCTTATGATTTATAATATAAGATGTATTACTTCAGTTACTAAGCCAGTAAAGATGAGCTTTTGTCGCCCATATACAGCAGCTTTTCTCCATTTATAGATTTACAATCAAAATATTAGTTTTTCATAATTTTTATGGAATTATCCAGCATTCCATTCGCCCATCTAAGGGGCCATTCACTTATTACGTAACGCTTTTAGGGGGAGGGGGGTCTAAGATTTTGTTACGGTTCAAACAAGGAAATTTTTTTTTCATACAAATTTTGTTACGAGGGGGGGGGGGGGGGGGTCTAAGAAGTCATTTTTTCGCGTTACGTAATAAGTGAACAGCCCCTAAACAAAATGTTCAATAATAACTAATTTGTGCAAATAACATGCTAAAAATAGCATCAATAGATTCTCCGTAAAAGACAAAAAAGGCTGTAAAAAAAGCCGTACACATTGCGTGTTCTGCTTTGTCGCGAGTCGTCATTCATCCAAAGTTCACACAAGTGCATATTCATAACTTGCCGTCTGTATATAAAAGTATTTCATTGTTGTTTTATCGATTAGAACCAAAGTGAGTGGCAGTTTTATTATTTTTTCCCTTTTTTCACGAATTGGCTAAAAAAATTGCATGAATGGAAAAAATATCGCAAACTATAAATCGGTGCTGACAAAAATCTCTACGGAGAATTCAAATCAAATTCATTGTTAATGAATGAAACAAAAATAAGTAATACAAAAATGTGATTATTGCGCAATCCCCTAGACTCTGATGTGCTTACTTATATAGTTTGTACTTAAAAGTTTTTTTTTTCTCTCGTGGTCCTCTTCATTTCTACTTCTTATAGCGGAAATCTAAAATCTCTGTGCTGGGGGTCTGACGAAATGTTTGGGTAATTTTTTGTTTAACAGTTGGATTTTTTTTTTGAATTTTATTTTATTTTCGAAATTTTGTTCGAAATTGAGAATTTTCAGTATTTCAATAATTTCAAGCAATTTAAAGCTTAAAGACTGATTTATTTGCTTATTAATGAGCACAACTTCCATATCTAGATAGCAATTACCTTCAGTCATGTTTAATTTATCAATTGAGGCAATTTTTAAGCGATTTTTTCAATTTCTGAAATTTCAATTTGTTTGTAAACATTCGAAAAGTTTTCGAAAATTTGAAATTTAAAAACAGTTGAAAGTCAATTCAAATGGTTCAATACGCATTAAGTTTTTAAAGCTGAGATGAGCTGATTAGGATACAGTAGAGTAAAACGTCTGGAATTTCCACTTGAGTTAATAAAGCTCACACTTGTGAGCATTTAATATTTACGACTCAATTAAATTACAATTGTCATAAAGTAGGTAATTGAATGTTACATGACTGATTTTCATTCTAAACTAAGAGCAAGGTGCCCATTCACAAATTCTAAGATTTTTCTACTTCACCCCTCTACTTAGTTCTTATTACGCGACTGTTGAGATTAAAAATAAGTTCAAAGTCAGTTCAACTGTAGAATTGCAACCTTTCCGCATGACTTAATGTCTCCAAGCCTCAATTTCGTGCAGCATAACAGCTGACAAGCATAAACATTTCGTCAGTACCCCCCTCATTCCAATACATCTAGTAGAAAAGAATCTAAGAGGTCTCAACATTTGTATTTTTAATGTTATTTTAACAAAAAAAAAATCTCTTTTTTGTTATTGAAGTAAGTGACGAGCGGAATGAACAGAAGAAAAACGGAGTTAATGCTTCTTACATTATACACGAATTTTTTTTAAAAGCAAGCAATAGAGGATGTAGCATCAATTCGGTCAATAAACATTTTACAAAGTCAAATTGAATTGAGTGAAGAAAAAAAAAAGTGAGAAGAAAAGAAAAGCCCAAGCAGAGACTGAAAAATGTAGTTGGAATTACTTTTTTGGAAGTTTAAGTGAACTAAACGAGAAAAAGAGAGAGAAATATATAAGAAAAATAAGATAAGAAGAGTAATTGAAGTAAAGAGATGAAGTCTCCGCTATTGAATTCATTATTAGTTCTACTTCAATTCGTCATCGTGTCATTAACTTATGATGATCGTGGAATAATGGATAGCAAACGACGTAAGTTTTTTAGCATAATAAAAATATTTTATACTTTTTTTGGGGGGGGGGGGGGGGGCGGTGTACTCACAAATGATGTTGTGGTAGAAGTGTGGAATCTTGGGTATTGAGGCATATGTAGTTGAATCTGTCAGTGTAAGGGTAGGTCTCTGTGTTCGACTGTGAGGCAACTGACCTCGCAACCCTATCTTTCTTTTGACGACAAAGGTTCAACTTCCACCAAGAGCCTATTCTCAATAAGTACTGAGTTCCACTAAGTTTACTCGATTTAAAAAGAAATTTTGTGAACGATCTCATGCAGTCTTGACATCATTTACAAACAACTACTTCAAATCTATAGACTCAAGAGTGGGATGCTCCTCAAAAAGTACTCATCGACATGCATTTATTATAGCTTTAAACAGTAGCTCAAAAAGTAAGACTCGAGGCAATTTAACTCAATCATGGATATTACTTCAAGTAATTCCTCCCTTCCTTTAAACATCGATCGTATTTGTTCCTCATATTGATAACATTCAGGTATTCTTTAAGTAGCAATAACATTGCGTGCTCTCTGACCAATATTTTTTTTACGAAACGACCTTTAGTAAATGAATGGAACTTCTTATCTGTTGTACATGAAAAATATTGACGTAGCGTATCTTTCGAAGGTATTTCGTGGAATTCCATAACTGCATGATATTCGTCAGTCACGTGTTTGGCATATATTTGGTTATGAGGAAGTAAATTTTTGAATTTTAAAGGAATTTTATGGATTTTTAGACCTCATCCCATTAATTAGTAAACAGAGATCTAGTCTATAGATACAGTTGATCATAAAGCTCAAAAGTCAAGCATTTCCCAAACAAACTATTAATTATAATAAAAAGCTATTTTATGACTAAATATAGCCTCCGTTTATAGAGCATATATAGGTTCCATAAATTTAAAGAAAACAAATGTATTCACTGCAATAAATCAAACTGATCATAGACCTCGCAAATTAAAGACCATCAATAAAATAGTAATAATAATAATCTAATTTCATTATTCTGGCTATACTAAGAATAGAAACGTTACATCCATTGACCTTCCATTTAATTAATAGCTTGAAGAAATTTTATCACAAGTCATTCGTGGCGCATGCTTCTGGAAAATATTATTTCTGTAAATTTAATTAGCATTAAAAAGTGCTAAACAGCATGTCATCAACAATGTTCATTTGAATTAAAAATTCCAATAGATCTGTATCTTAGGTTCCTATCCTTTGACGCATCGAATATCGACAGTGAAATTTCATTTTTGGAATTTAAAATTTTTTTTTCGCCGATCATTCATTTCAATTCTCATATATTCTCATCATACATCATGTTAAACAAAACAAACTGGTATATGGATTTGATCAAGCATGAGTTTCTTAAGCGCAGTTGTTTTGTATCGATAATTGTAGATAAATATTTGATAATGCACTTTAATCGGGCTTGCTTTTAACTTACTTGATCGAACTTTAGTTCATTGGTTAATAACTTATGAAACCTCTAAACTCTAAAATGTTAATCTGTATCGGCCTGTTTCACTAAAGTGGATTATCCTCGATTTCAGATCATCCATTTCAGTTTTTTGTAAATATCTTAAACTTCATGGGAGGTGTGGTATTTCTAATTTTGGATTATAAAAGAGTGAAGTATGCCTGAAATTTCTGTACACTTTAAACTTTTACTTTTCATTAAGAAGTATTAATTATTCAATTTTCTAGCCAAATCTAGAAGATTAACTTCAATTTTTGCTATAATTCTCAAACTAATGAAGATATAAAAATTCTTAGTATATGTTAATTTAAGTAGCAAAGTACTTTAAGGAGATCACACTTTAGATCTCTTAATAACCTTAAGCGTCTGGAGATATTTCCGAAAAACTGAAGTGGATAATCCGAAATCGAGGATAATCCACTTTAGTGAAACAGGCCGTATAATATTCGTAGGAAGTTTCAACTATTACATAAGAATCTTTTTGTGGATCAACTGTACTAGTCTATTTTGTTGTCAACAATGAATCATGATCTGATTCAACACTCATCAACGCTGCATCAACCCCTTAAAGCTCTTCATTCTCTTAAAGCTAAATTACTAGCCTTAAACCTGGGTTGAAGCAGTTCTCTTAAAAATCACACAAAAAGTCTTTCACTTATCAGGTCAGAATTGAAGTTCATTTAAACTAAAACGATAGGTTTCTTAGAATCTTTCTTATCTTTTAACCAACTTCCATAACCTATCAATTTTTAAATCAACTCTACTCTACGTAAAATTACGTAATGTCACGTTTTTACGTAAGCCACTTCAGAAAGTTTTTCAATTAATTCTGTCCAAAGAAGCTACAAATCAACAAGATCTTCCCCCATTCTTTTCAAATGCATGGCACAACTATTTCAAGCATGAAACCTTTTTAAACTACCTTTAATTAAAAGAGTTAAACAGCATATAGTCAGATAGACAAGATATAGACATTAGCATCATATCAATCTATAAAAAAAACTACACTTAATAAATGAAGTGTGTGCGTGAATTAAATTGGAAATAAATAAATAAGTAAAATGTTTCCATAAAGACGTGCGAAGAAAATATTTCTTTCTTTTTGAACTTTACTTAAGTGAGAAACGAAATGTATGTAAAAATTTATGTTTATGCTGTGCTCTTCATTTTTTGTAGTACATTAAAAAATATTATATCGGGCATGATGTTAAACAGCAAAAACAGATGATGATGATGCTTCTCATGTATTTTTCATTTTCATTTTCTGTTATTGTTAAATGAAAGCGCCAAAGAAAGAGTCTTGATTGTCGTGACATGAAAAACTTCAAGGTGAAAGTTGATGCCCTTAAAAAAATATATAAAGCATAATTTTTTGTTGTTGTAGGAAAAGATAATTTAAATGGATTCACCAAAATGTTATTTTGCTATTCCCCTGCATTTGGTCGCAAAGCCGATTAGCTTGTCACATTATACCTCTATTATTGCTTATTTACAGCATGTCTGACTGCTTTCGTTTCACTCAACATTTTTGTTTTTGCAATTTCTTTATTGTTATTTTTATACTTTTGTGTGTTCTTATCACATCCCTTTCTGGGGCTGTCTGTATTGTTTCAAAAATATTGTGTATGCATATTTTTATTTGCTATATCCCACCTGTAAATTCTTCAACTTGAAACATGTGTACATCATAAGACAATAGAAATTTAATATGTCATGAACATTTTACGGAAATATACAAAAATAATCATTGGAAATTATCTTGTTGTGGTTGTTTGAGACGCTTTTTTGAGTTATAAAACATTTTTCGGAAGTTTTGCGTTTAACATTCAAATTTGTAACGGATTATGCAATTTTGAAAACACGTGGTCAAACTTTCTACGCTTCGAGTTTTATTTTTTTATTTTTGCTTTAATTAAACTTTTTTAAATAAACTGAAGTGTCAGATGTTCTTCAAAAAAGTGGCAAGCGTATATTAGAATAAACAGCAGCAACTGAAAAATTTTTATTTAACTTAAAAGAATAAAATTCAAATCTAAGAAAATACCGAAAATACTCAGTCATCAATAGAACCCAAAACTAAAGCAATTATCCTCCAAAACTTCAAAAAAAAAAAGCACTCATACATGTACCTCTATTGAGTGTACACAAAAATTATAATTTGATACTCTTATAATCGTCAAGCGCAAATTAAGGAAAATGAATTGAAAGAAAAAGAGAATTTCATTGAAAACCAAATGTGCTGTGTACACACAATGAGAACAAATGTGAATGATCAAATTCAATTTCTCACATGTGGACGATGTGATCTCAAAGAATAACAAATTTGAACAAATTGTATGTACGTACCTTATTGAGTTGTTTGTACTCGTTTGAGTTGAAATATGTGCATATGTGTATTTAAATTGTCATGCTGACTCGTCAATTCATTCATGGCTAATAATTTGAATAAAATGTTTAATAATTTGCATTGAATTGATTGAAAAATGTTGATTTTGAACAACATTGATATGCAAAAAGTTTGTCGGTTTTAAGAATTTAGCAACTGGTTTTGCTGAAAATAAATTTCTAAGATTAGTTCAATGAAGTTTTGAGCTGGCATTTTCTATTTAGAAACAGTAAACAAATTTTCAAATTTTAACGGATTTTAAATTTTTTTTTCATTTAAAAATATCTTCATCTCGATTTTAACTTTTCAATTTTTACTTATATGAAGCATCTTCTGGTGGAACAAAATATGCAATAGCCTTTAAAAAAGTGGCAAGAATGTAGTGCAATTATCATCAAAAGCTGAAACTGTTTAATTTTTGCAGAAAAAGTAAAAAAAATTATTGAATTTTTTAAACCTCAACTAGTAACAAGAATACTGCTTCCCCATTCCAAAACCTCAGCCTGCTATATGCAATAATGCGCTCAAAACCTTACACAACAAAACCACAATATCATCTTCTGTTCAATAATATTTAGTTACACTTTATGCTGTTTCTTTTTTCAGGGACAAGTAATGTTTGCCGCGACACCTCAGAATGCCCTACAAATGCGATTTGTGAGCCACGTAGTGGAGGTGTGTACGACTATATGGAAGGCCAATGCGTTTGTCGAAATGGATATTTTATGAAGGCATCTGGCAAAAGTCGAGAGTGCATAGAAATAGCAGATTATGGGGAACTTTGCTACATGAATGAGCAGTGTGAGTTTCGATTAGGAAAAGAATCGTTTTGTAATAATGGCCAGTGCTCATGTAAATCTAACTCCCATTATGTCATAACCGAAAATGCATGCTTCAACTCATCAAGTAAGTCATAAAACATCATATTTTTGGATATAATCAATCAATCAACTATGTTTATGACTACATCTCTTTCTCATATGTGTCTATATATATAGAAATAGGTGAATACTGCCGACTAACAAGCAATTGTGTAGTGGATAAGACAACATGTCAACAGGGTCAATGTCGTTGCTTTAGGAAGCATCATCCGAATTTAAATAAATCCAAATGTTTACGAGATATTAATTTAAATGAGCAATGCTTTACGGATGATGAATGTGTTGTTGAAAATTCCCACTGTATGTCAGGAACATGTCAATGTAAGTCGTCGCATGTACGGAGTGAAGAGAATGATCAATTGTGCCTTCCACTCGCCACATCTATCTATCAATCGTGTCAACAGGACATGCAATGTTCATCGATACCAAACGCTGTTTGTGAGAGTACAAATGGCACATGTGTATGCCAAAAAGATCATCATGATATTAATGCTGTAAGGATAATCAAAGATTCATCAACGAATGATGAACTCGTGACATTTGAAATATCGTTCAATTTCTTCCAGAGATGCTGGTCATCTGTTCGACTTAATGGAATTTGCGAATCTGATGAGAATTGCGTTATAGCACACTCATCGTGCATTAATAAAAGATGTGTCTGTGATGAAGGCTTTCACGAAACTCGTGATAAATTTTGCTCAAATGCCCAAAAAGTTCAAATTAGCTTCCTAGTAGTCGCATTAGTAGTATTCACTTCAATGAGGCTTTTTTAGAAGAATCAAAAGTTTTTTTTTTCATTTCATGTTTTTATTTCATTATTTTTCCCATAAATCATTGCATTTTATATAGGAGCCTAGCTCCAATTTCTCGTAACGGCTTTTGTTATCGTAATTTTTTCTTTACAAAATGCGCTTGAATATTTATTTTGTCTGTCTGGGGTTAGTCAGGATTAATTATAATTAGGTGGTTAACATTATGTCAGTTGTGGCACGCTGTCATGTTTAATATTTCATGGGGTTATACAGAAAATTAATTATTGCGTGCGTTTTTAATGAAAATTTTTCTTCCGAAAGTCTAAATTAATTGTATTTAAAAAGATGCACAATAATTTCACACCAATAGTTTATTCAGTGAAAAAGATGCAAAAGTTCAGCCAATTAAAATGGAAGCATAAAATTTTGCATCAAAAGTACGTTAAGTAAAAAAGATACGAAAAAATTTCGCATCAAAAGTACGTTCAATAAAAAGATGCAAAAGAATTTTGCATCTAAAGTGCGTTCAGCAAAAAAGATGCGAAAAATTTTGCTTCAAAAATTCAAATTAAATTTACTATTGGCACACATCTATTGCTCACATTTGATTTACCCAGAAATGATGTGTAAGCATCAAGAACACTAAGATAAAATAAACTTCAACGCATCAGTTACATAAGATCAATTACACCAAATCGGCTAGTAGAGGAAACAAGCGCCTTAATCATCCAATCAAAAGTAATATTTCGGCAATTTTTCCACTAGTTTATTCATCCACACAGCAATTTCGACACAAACATGAAAAGAAACACACAAAAAAAATATATTGAATTAAAGTCGAACGAATTTATATTCTTATAAATAAATACAAAAGTATTTAATTTATATTTTTTGTGATAAATCGGGGAGCTTCTTGCATTATTTTTCTTTTCCTTCTTACTTTTCCGCATTCATTTATTTATTAATCTGAAATTTTTAATTTTTTCGGAAGCTATAAACAAAAGAAAAATATATTATATAAAAGATTATGCTCGTAATAGTGTAGAAATCACCTTCTCAGACGGAAAGGAAATTAAGTAAATTATATCTATTTTTTTAGGCTAGTTGTGTAAAGTATTCCCACAATTTTTTTAACCAAAGTGACAACAACTATGATTTCTAGTTAAGTAGAGCTTCATTTAGATATAATGTAGGATTATTAATAAATTATTATAATTATAATTATGGTTAACTCATTTTCTGTTGTTATTTATTATTCTTAAAAAAAAAATCTGATGTATCAAAAATCACACGAAAAATATACAAAACAGTTTTAATATATTAAAAAATTGGAATTATCATTTGAATAAAAATCATTTTTCGTCATTACTTATTTTTATTATTTAGTGTCATGGATTTAAAGTGAAGAAATCACGTGATTACTTAATATTACTGATATGCGTTACGTGCTTAAAATTGGTCTTTAAACCTTATAAATGTTTTGGGTTTGGAATGTCTGTTGTATAGTTCTAATGGAATGGTTTTTACTTTTAAAACTAGTCAAATGTTTTCTAAAATGCTGTTGTAAGGTTTTGAATGATTACAGCAGAACCTTACAAATTCAAAATGTTTAAATTAAAATTAATGTCCCAAAACAATACAAATGTTTCTCACAGAAACTATACAAATGTTTTAAAAATGTCAATTATTTTAAAAATACAACCGCTAACACTAGTTGAGCAATTACTTAAAAATTGAAAGTTTGTTCATTAAGAAATAACAAAATTCACACAACCCATGATATAATTTTGACACTGTGTAACAATTCAAATTGCTTTTCTATAGAGAACAGCAAATATCCGTGGGAAAATCTTTCAAATAGTGACTTCCTCAATACATTGATGTAATCTTTCAAATTGTTAAAAACAAAATCCATCACTTCTAGGTCAAAAAAGCAACAAAATTGCTTCGATATTCCCTCAAAAATCACACGAGTTTCGCTTTAAATCCAAAAACACTATCATTAATTTTTGTTTATAGACACAAAACGTTCACATTTCATCACTTTGCAATACAATAATAATTTGCATTCAATTATAGTCTTTCAGACTTGTTTCTTCCAGAGTTGCGAAACAGGTCACCTGTGATAGGTGAGAACCTTTCAATTCCTTGATAATTTGTATGGTTTTGTTAGGAAAACCTTATAAATTATCAAGGAATTGTAGGGTTTTCACCTGTCACAGGTGCCTGTTTCGCAGCTCTGGTTTCTTCCTTAAGATAAAATTTTTTTCTTCTTCCTTCCTTGCTGATATTGATTAACATGAATATAAAACAATTTTTTTTTCATAAAAATTTAGCACATAGTAGAGATTTGTAGTTGCGATTAACATCTTTGATGTTAATATTTGTTCGTAGATGTCACAAAAGTTGTCTTTATGATAATTTTAATTTGTATAAATTAATGGTTGGATGCACTAGTAAAAGTCCACCAATAAGGTATGTCGTTGTTGAGCCAATCGACCAAAAAGCTGTCGACGAAATGATTGGACCAAATGCCCTGCGAAACAAGACATTAAAATTCAACTTTAATGGATGTAAATCATCAAACTCACCTAGCGAGAGCTCCAAGAGATCTAAAGATTCCCAAAACTGTGCCTTTCTGATCGAAGTTTCCATATTTTGATGTAAGCGTTGTCATGCAAGTCACGACGAAGGCGGTTGCTGTTTGGAAAGAGTTGAAATTTACAGAAAATATTAAGATTTTGAGGTATTATATGAAGCATGAGGAAAATAAAAAGGCTTAGCCGTAAAAATAAGACCAGAATTATTACCTAATTTTTAAAAAATAATATTTAAACGGTTTTGTAATATTTGAAATTTTTAAACAGTTTTGTAAGATTTGAAATTTTTAAAGTTTTTGTAAGAATTGAAATTATTTTTCCGTTACAATCTTAAATTTCTAATAATCAATCAATCCTATTACCGACACTTCAAACAACTAAGCCCCGCACAAAGAAAAGAAATTACTTACAGATTGCATAAAGAATCATTCCGACATAGAGCCAAAAACTATTTTCACTTAATCCAACGATTACGTACGATGGAATAATGAGTATTAAACCGAAAACGGCAGCTTGTTTAGTACGTTCTAATTTTATTCTCCTTACAACTCCACCTTGAAGTATTGTCATTATCACACCAGTTGTTAAAAACATTTTAGCTTGATCCATAGAATTATATCCAAATTTATGGAACATAAGGAATGTAACAGTAAATTCAAGTCCCGAATATATGAACAGATAAACGAAATAAATGAATCCAAGTTGTTTCAATGATGCAACATCAGCCTTGGATAGGTTCTTGACAGCATCAAAGCGGAACAATGATGGAATGCTGATGTGTTCAAGTGCCTGTGAAACGGAGTTGATAACAGTTTTTGCACGCTTCTCCACTGGCAATGATTCCTTTAAGCAAAACATGACGAAAAGTGCATCGAGCGTTGCTAAGCACATTGCAAAAAGTGCAGGATATGCAAACCAGTCTGTCGATGATTTATCAGCAAATCGTGAAAATACAGCACCGATTATTGGTCCAACAATGAATCCTAAACTGAATGCAATGCCAACAAGTGCCATTCCTTTGCCACGATTTTCCTTGCTCGAGACATCTGTTATAATTGCCATACTTAAACTGATATTTCCTTTACTCAATCCACCAACAAAACGTGCCAAAACAAACAGTCCAAAATTACTTGATACTGCCCACAATCCATACGATCCAATTATTCCAAACAGAGTGACAAGGAGAATTGGTTTACGTCCATAATAATCTGATAATCCACCTGCCAATGGACTTATGATGAATTGGAGTAAGCTGAACATAGAACCAAGAAATCCGCCAAACAGAACTGATGTATACTTGTCAGGTGCGCCAACAAGTTGCGTAAAATAGCTTATACTATTTGATAATGTCGTATAAAGTCCATCCTTATCATTAACTCTATAATGTTCTAGTAATGACGGCAGCAATGGCAAAATCATCGTAAATGCGAGGAGGTCAAGTAAGAGTGAGAAAAAGACGATATAAACTGTTGGATGTGTCTTTGTTGATGCCACTTGAGCTTTATCCTTGCCAGTTACGTCAGACTTTCCCGTTTCCATAGTTTCTGCTGAACTACCGTTTAACTTTGACGACTTCTCACGTTTCCACATCTTTATTGCACGAAAATTTATAAGCCACTGATTGAGAGAGGAAAAAATAGTGTGATTATGAAATATAATAAAATTAAGCTTATCAGCACAGGCACAATTCTTTTTAAAACGGCTAGTAGAACTCAAAATTCGTAAGGTCACGGACCATGAGAATATATAGAATATACGGTATTATGAAATTTGATAAGGTTTGCAGCTACACTGTATGTTGTGAGGCTTCTCGAAATTGACTAAGGGATTTACAGGCTTTACTTATTACCGTACACTCATCACAATTTATAGATTAAGTTTCTAATAATGTATATTCTGTTTAGGTATGCAAAATGTCTTGTAACTTTCTGGATCTTTGTATAAAATAAACAACTTCACTGGTTCTTTTAAAATTGCAATTTATTGCTCACACAAAACTGTCACATGCCGGAGAATATGCTAAAACGTCTGCCCCGTGTGTGTCTACGTGTAGCCAAAAATAAGTTTATTGTGTCCTGAAGACCTTGAATCATCATCTAAACCCGTTTTTCTGCACAAACTTACCAATCAAGTGCAATTAATTTGTTAATACTGTATGAATTTGGATTAAAATGGATGATTTATCTTAGCACCGAGCATAATACATGCGAATACTTTATATAACTCTCAGTAAAACACTGAGCTTACGCACTTAATAAAAACTTTTGGTAAATAACTTTCTCTTTACATCTTTGAATTTAATGATTCAATTTCAAAAATTTACGGCAATCGAGCTCTTTTTCGATTCGAGATGATTTCACTAGTTTCAAGTTTTATTGTCTACTTGTTGCTTATTAATAGGTCTTTAAAGTTGTGCACAGACGAATTTTCTGTTTTTTAAGCAAACTTAGTTTTCACGTAAACAGCTCAACCAATTGAAAAACGTTTTTAATTTTTGTAAGCACATAACAGCATTAAATTAGGTATTAAAAAAATGAGCTTTTAAATGAGATATCTCCAAATAAATAGGATTAAACTTTTCCAAAAATATCTCGATTGCAGCAAATTTTTAAAATCAGACCAGTGTCGCTTTGTTTACAAACAAAACGTGCGGATTAATAATAACGGCTTTTATAGTATTAATTTGAACTTTTTTGCCCGGGAATTGTTTGGATTAAACATTGTTTTTGCCGGTATTAGCATGTTTTTTGAAATTTGAGCTCAAAAAGCAGTCATTTGAGTCGTGTCTTATTATTTTTCAAATATTTTTTCACAGTTATATTTTTAAAAAGCATATTGTGTTTTATAATTTTAAATTTTATAATAATTTAACCAAGTGCAGGATAAATGCGCTTTTGACAGTCATTAGTGTAGACACCCAAATATACACTGGTTTTGTTTACATTATGATAAAAGTTCATAACATGATCAGTATCCAAATCTTTAATTAAACAGACAGTCGATTACGCACAGATAGGCTTTAATAAAATAATTAATCATGTATACGCTACTAGAAGGGCCAAAGGAGAGTCTAGTGAAGAAGTATGTAAGAATATTCTTCGTCGTAGCTGCATATTGGTAAGATTTTTGCATAATTTTTGCCAATTTTTTATTGATTTCTAAATAGGCCATCAACTTTCTTTATTTTAGGATCATTTCCATAACGACTGTATTTGTTAACAAAGAGTTATTCAATGGACAGCATGTGAAGCTGAATGCAACATTATTCGTGACGTGGTTTCAATGTGTAGTAACGACATGTATCTGCATGACTGGAACTTTTCTGAGTCGACGGTTCCCAAAATTGGTTCCTTTAAACTTCCCAGAAGCATATCCATTAAGAAAGGAGACAATTAAGAATGTGATTCCGCTGTCGATTATGTTTACAATGATGATATCCACTAATAATTTATGTCTACGTTATGTCTCGGTGGCATTTTATTACGTTGGAAGGTCTCTGACCACTATCTTTAATGTCATTCTATCCTACATCTTCTTAAAAGAGAAGCAAAGCTTCAAAAGTATCATTTGCTGTGCTGTGATTATTTCTGGATTTTACCTAGGCGTTGATCAAGAGTCACTGACTGACACATTCTCACTTATTGGAACCATATTTGGAATCATTGGATCTTTTGCACTTTCTATGTATTCAATTTATACAAAGAAGACACTTCCATTTGTGAACGGGGAAGTCTGGCTACTTAGTTATTACAACAACTTCTATTCAGTCATTCTATTCCTTCCATTAATTGTTATAAGCGGCGAAGTCCATGAAGTATTAAATTATGAGCATATCGGAAAGCTCTGGTTTTGGATGACAATGATCATTGGTGGTATTTGCGGATTTTTGATAGGCTACGTAACAACTTTACAAATCAAAGTTACATCACCACTCACACATAATATCTCAGGAACAGCAAAGGCTTGTGCACAAACAATATTAGCAACAAGCTGGTTCAACGAAATAAAGTCGTTCTTGTGGTGGTTCTCAAACATGGTTGTGCTTGTGGGAAGTTTCGCTTATGCTCGAGTTAAGCAAGTGGAAATGGCTCAACGACACAGAGATGCTCACAACTCACAGAAGCTTTAAGTTTTAAGTGGTTTATTTTAGATGGCTCAGATTAAATTGGAATTGAATTTTAACCAAATATAGGAAATACTGCATTTAAATGCGAGCAAATAGTAAGCTCTAGAGCAATTCCATGTTTCAACAAAGTTTATGAGTTTTATGAGTTTTATTAAAATCCAAAAGACAATTTATTATAAAGCAATAGGTGTACTATGTCAGTTATTATCAGCGTAAGCCGGAAATTAAATTTAAAGAACTTATAAAATGCGTTATGCATCAACTATTTCAAACTATAAGCTACCGGCTTAATACTATCTGAGCATAATCCATAATATGGAATCTGATATTCAAACAAATCTTTAACACATCAACAACCAAAGACAACGAATTTCAAAAATATTATAAAACCCAGAAATAAAACTCAATTAATCACCAATAAAAGACGATCCAACAAGGCAAAGGAAAGTGTTACGAAAAAACACGTATTCAAAAATTTCGCGACATATGACTATATAACAGATATAAAATAGGATAGATTTCTATTCAGTTCGCTAGAGTGCACATCTCTTTTTTTTTGTTTAAACTAAAAACATGCGTCCGGGAAATAATAACAGTTGATCTGAGGCATCATTAACCAATGATTTTATTGTTGTACAATTTATTTTAATGTTAATTTTAATTTTATATCACCTGATTTAGATGGTCCCTAAATATAGTTTTTTCGATAACTAAACTGTAGCTTTAATTTTTTTTATTAGATCAAGTAAATCTATACAGCACGTAATAATTCTTTATCAGAGCATAACAGTGATAAGATAGGAAGGCAGACTGAAGAAAACTAAGCAATTCTAAGTTGCAATGTCAGAATTTATTGAAACATAAAGTCACGACTATTATTTAATATTCATTTGTCATGATTCACTTGAATGTCGTGAAAATGCACTAAAGTTACAACTATTCAAATAGTAAAGTCGAGTATTCGGCGAAGTGCTTCATTATCAAATAGCTTGCTGTTTGAGTAAGGTTAAATTGTATCAACAAGCTAATTACTTTAATTACTAATCAATGGATCAAAACAGTGGCAAATATTCTTTATTGGAAGTGCCAAAAGAAAGTTTATTTAAGAAATATGTCAGAATTTTTCTCGTAGTTGCAACGTATTGGTGAGTCAGAGAATATTTATGTTTAATAGACTAACTTAATGACCGATTTCAGGATAATCTCAATCACAACAGTTTTCATCAACAAAGAGTTATTTAATGGACAGTCAGTGAAGCTGAATGCGACACTCTTTGTAACATGGTTTCAGTGTGTTGTTACGGCTGTCATTTGTGCCACGACAACTTATTTAAGCCATAAATTCCCATCAATAATAAGACTGGATCTTCCTGAAGCTCGACCATTTGAGTCTGAAACTATAAGAAATGTGATTCCGCTGTCGATTTTGTTTACTACGATGATTGCTACGAATAATCTATGTCTGAGATATGTGTCTGTAGCTTTCTATTATGTTGGACGGTCGCTGACGACAATCTTTAATGTCATTTTAACTTATTTGTTCCTTGGAGAGAAGCAAAGCTTTAAAAGCATTGCATGCTGTGCTGTGATAATCTCTGGATTTTATTTAGGTGTCGATCAGGAGTCACTGACTGACACTTTTTCATTGATTGGAACTATTTTTGGAATTATTGGATCTCTAGCCTTATCAATGTATTCAATCTACACAAAGAAGACACTTCCATTTGTGAACGGAGAAGTGTGGTTGCTAAGTTACTACAATAATGTTTATTCCGTCTTCCTTTTCATGCCATTAATTATCATCAGTGGTGAATTGCATGAAGTCCTGAACTATGAATTTATTGGCGAGCTTTGGTTTTGGAGCACAATGATAATTGGAGGTATTTGTGGATTTTTAATAGGATACGTGACAACCTTGCAAATTAAGGTGACATCGCCATTGACTCATAATATTTCTGGAACAGCGAAAGCTTGTGCACAGACGGTTCTAGCCACGAGTTGGTTTAATGAAGTCAAGTCATTTTTGTGGTGGGTTTCGAATCTGATTGTGCTTTTGGGAAGCTTTGCCTATGCTCGAGTAAAGCAAGTGGAGATGGCTAGGAGACATCGAGAAACTCAGAATGATCAGAAAGTGTAGATTTTTTTGTACTTAATTAATACTTGAAAGCAATATACTTTAAGAATTTGACAATGAGAGTGTAATACTGAGTTTTTTAATAAAAGAAGAGGAGGGGGGGGGGGGTCGACATCATATCTAAAATTGTTAAATAAAATAACTGAGACAGGGGGAGGGGTTGTTGATTAAGGGCATATCTCAGATATTGAAAAATTTATAGAAAGCTGAGCTTTTGGTGTCTAATAAGATTCCAATGTGCTTTTACTCATTTTTTTAAATTGATTTTTCGATAGAAATTTGCATTTTAGTGTCAAATTTTATGATTTTCTCTAATTTCTTCCCCTTCCAATATTCACTTACGATTATTAAATTTTATGGCACTAATATGCATGAAAAAGCTTAAAACGTTTAACGGTCGAGCAAAAATCAAATAAGGCAAGTCTGTAAAAATGAGGAATTTTCGATCAATCTATGTTGTTTATATTTCAGTGTAAGAAAACTTCGTCAGTCCAGTAACGTTAGACATACAATAAAATCTAAAGACAAGCTTCAATTTTTGTACAACTGAAATTCGTGGACAGACAGAATAAAAAAAAAACTAAGTTCCAATAAATATTATTCAAAACCAAAGTAAACGTTGTAAAGCTAATCGAGCTTTAAAAGCTTTCATGTCAACAGCAAGCATCAATAGATTCATAGAATCATAGTATTACCAACAATCAAGTAAGAACTGGCAGTGCCTATATATATTTAGACAATTTTCAAAACTTTGATAAATAAAAAGATTAAAATTAATTTTTTAATAATAAGACCGAGTATTCTCGTGATTTAAAACATTAAATTAACCTATTAATATGATATAGATAGTGCCACACATTATTTAATAACTGTTGATAACGTCCGATGTTCGGATTTTGAGGAAAAAGTGTTTAAATAAGTTTTTTTGTGTAATTTTTCAATTTTTCGTAATATTTTCTCCTGTTGCTCAGCATAAATTTTCTTAATGGAATCTAATCATGAGAATTCGTTCTGGAAGAGTAGTAATAGGACCGTGCCTGGACGACCGTCACCAAATAAGGATATTAAACTTATTAAAGGTAAAGGAGGTACATCAAATTCGTCGGCATCCTTTGAGAACTATCAAAAGTCAGTTTCTGATGCATGGACACTATCGGAAGATGAATTGACTAAGGAATATTGTATTTTATCCACTGATGATCCTAAATTAGGTCGACGATCAGCTCAAAACACATCCAGAACACATAAAAATCCACAACAGATTGCTGTCGTTCATCGAGCTAATTCTTCTTTTTCGACGTCATCAAACAATAACATCACTATTACTGCCACACTTGATGCCAATAATCACGATTTACACAATTCTGATGACACGAATGATAAGAGGAAGAAGCTTTCAACAGTCTATGAAAATGCATCAACATCTGTAAATAACAAATCATCCAATATAGAATATGGGTGAGTCATATGATGTGTGTGAAGGATGCAAACTAGCCGGTACTGTTGTCTTTTTCGCTCCATATAACTATACTTATCGAATTGAAAATGAGCTTGACAACGGTTGTTTAAAATTTAAAAAATAACCGTCAAATTAAATTTGAATGTCACTCCTAGGAAAGCTTCAATATAAATCCGAAATTATCGTTATTTTATAAAAAGCCATTGAACCCACTTAGCACCTTCTTATCAACTCAATGAATGCATACAAATTAATATCATTATCATTTCTCATTAACAGTCGTCTACGGCAACGATTCAATTCATATCCAGGTCGACCACAATTATTAAAATTCACATCAATGTCCATTAAAGACGACGCAGAATCAAAATTAGAGAAATTTTCAGCAATTTTAGAAGCAGATTTATTAAATTTGCAGGCTCTTAAAGAGCTAAGTTGGTCGGGTGTGCCAAGAAAGATGAGGGCTGTAATTTGGAGACTATTATCCGGATATCTACCAACATCACTTGAAAGACGTAATTCGGTGTTAGAAAGGAAAAGGATCGATTATCAAGCATTAGTCAAGCAATATTTTCATGCTGATGCACGAGATGAGTCACAACAAGATACATTTCGACAAATTCACATTGACGTACCACGAATGAACCCTCATGTTCCATTATTTCAACAGAAACTCGTCCAAGAGATGTTCGAGAGGATCCTCTTTATTTGGGCAATTAGACATCCAGCTTCTGGTTATGTTCAAGGCATAAATGATTTAGTCACGCCATTTTTTATTGTTTTTCTACAAGAACAAGTCGGAACGGAAAAGGATTTAGAGACATATCGTTTTGAGGAGCTTCCAGTTGAACAACGAGACATAATTGAAGCTGATTCGTTTTGGTGCATTAGTAAGTTCCTCGATTGTATTCAGGATAATTACATTTTCGCGCAATTAGGCATACAAGAGAAGGTGAATCAACTAAAGGAATTAACACAAAGAATTGACGGTAAATTTACAAATCCATCCTTTTTTATGTGCAGTTAAACTTTAATTTTGTCATTTTTATTTGCAGTAACTTTACATAAGCACTTGACAAGTCACGGTGTTGATTATTTGCAATTCTCGTTTCGCTGGATGAATAATCTACTGACACGAGAACTTCCACTTTATTGTACAATTCGATTATGGGACACATATCTCGCTGAATCTGATGGATTTGCTGTATTTCAATTGTATGTATGTGCAGCATTCTTATTGCATTGGAGGGAGCAGCTTTTACAGGAAAATGATTTTCAGGTGAGTAAAAATTTTTGCGGTATTTCAGCAAATTAATTTTCGAAACCGTACAATTTTCTGAAACATTTGTAGGGTTTTAAACAGTTCAAGTTCCAAAATCCGTTAAAAATCAAAATGATATTATTAAACTTTTTCCTTCTTCAATCTCATTTTAGGGCTTAATGCTTCTTTTACAAAATCTGCCAACCCACAATTGGCTCGATTCTCACATTAGCGTACTGGTTGCTGAAGCATTTCGACTAAAATTCACGTATGCAGACGCGCCGCAGCATTTAAAAGTTAAAAGTTGACAGATTAGTCGGATATTGCTATAAAAATATGAAAAGTGCGATAAAATGAAACGAAAATATGAGTAAAATTAACTTTTATACATTATTGGTGGTATAACAGCATGTTTAGGTATTATGTGTGCTTTATGGTCTCTTGCATTTTTTTTTTGTTGTGGGGTCTTAAGAAGTTTTTCTAAGTTTTTTCTTAAAACAAGAACAAACAAAAACAATGGTAATGATTGCCTTAGTTCCCAAATAACTGATAGCAAGTCATAAATAAGTCAAATTAATCTCATTTTTTTTTTTTTGTTAAAGATTAAGCATTAAATTGCGTATCTTTTAGGCCAATAATCGTGAATTATATATTTGAGGGTCGTACAAAAATACCCTCCTGCAATTTTGATCAATAACATTTTTTTTTGCATTATCCATGTCTAAAAGCACCTATATAATTGGAGAGTCAATGAACTTAGTATCGTACTGTAAATTTTTTCGTGATTGTGTGAGACCATAAAGGCATACTTTATACTGGGGGTCCTCGATTTGAGTAGATTCTATTTGAGTAGATTCGATTTGAATAGAAATATTTTTACCCACCAAAATATTCGATTTGAGTAGATTTCTTCCTGTTTTCTTCGATTTGAATTGTTTACAAAACAAATATATTTGACAAAAACTTTTCAGAAAATATTTTTAAAACATAAATTTTAATGCAATAATCGTGAACTAATCATATTGATAGAAAAATCAATACTAAAGTTACAAAATTAAAGTAAAAATTTATAAAATCGATGTAAAAATAACGGTTTTAAATAGTTCAAATTTCAAAACCTTACAAATTGTTCGGTTGAAATTACATTTGTAAGGTTCTCATATTTTTGATTTGTTGAAAAAACATATTTTTTGAGAATTTCTGTTAAAATTACATATGAATATGCTTTAAAATAAATTAAGTCATCTAAAACACAAAAAAAAAGTTAAGAAACGAGGTAAAATGTGCAAAAAATTATAAAAATTTTCATTGTTTTGATACATTTTTTGGACTCTGGAACAAAACATGTGATTTTGTATGAATTCCTTGCCTCGATTTGAATAGATTCGATTTGAGTAGAAAATTTTTGGAACAAAATAACTACTCAAATCGAGGACCCCCAGTACTATAACATGAAATCCTTTCCTTCCTTCTTCTTTATCCCTTTTTAAAAAAGAAAGTGAATATTAATGAGAAAAAAGCAAATATTTGTGAAGCTGTTTCTATATTTCCATCGCTGGATGGTTAATTTTATTAATTTGGAAGATAAAAAGGCTAAATTGAATTTTTGCTGGTTTGAATGTTATTAGAAATTTGATGAAATTTGTAATTTCTCGATATTTTTTGTTTAACAGCTTTTTAAAATTTGAATTAGCTTCACAAAATTCGCGCGAGTTGAAAATGAAAACCATACAAATTTTATTTTACGCATAGAACAATATAAATTCTTTAAAACTGGGCTAAAACAATACAATTCCAAAAACAAAACAATACAAACCCCAAATAAAGTGCTTCGGAACCTTACAAATTCAAAATTTCAAACAATTTCCGTTACAAATCAACAAACATTCAATTCAGCCTCAAACTTCTGAAAAATAAATAACTGTTTAATTACTACATTATAGTTATAATAATGATAATTGGTTCTTTTATTAGATAAAACACATCTAGACAGAGATAAAATAATAATAATAATAAATGTTTTTTCCTTTCTTCTTCAGTCACTAACTTAGTCATTTTTCAAGCATGAAGATCAATATTTATGCTGTTAACGAACATGAAGCATACAAAATAATTTTAAAAAAAAACTGTCTAACTAGTAAAAGGAATGTCTTTGACTTCAATTGAAACTTTTTCTTCGTCATCATCATCTTGTACATTGTAAGTAAGAATAGCAATCATATTAATGGGCTGTTGTGTTGGATTTAGCAATAATACTACTTGATTAATAGTTTCTGTCGGTGGCTTAAATGGCTTTAAAGCCGGCAAGTCGCGTCCTGAAGCTTCTAAAATTCTCAATTTGCATGGTTTTGAGACACTTGCATCGAATGTAAAGTTATTAATTGCAGCACTTCCTTGATTAATAACTGAAATAACCAAGACAACAACATCTTTTGCTGGTCGGTCTGAAGTAAAATTGACAATGACTTTTAAACCTTTTGTCTCTTCTAAAATTGTTCGTGGTGCTTCAATCTCGCTTGGCTGGATGTTGGATAAGTCTAAATGTAGGTCTTTTAGTGCTACTTTCTGTGGCTGAGTAACAATGAAACTATCCTTAATTTCAGGTGGAACTTCACTTTGTGGAGTTTCACAAATTAAATTCTTCACATCATCGTCATTAATTGATTTTGGAGTGTCCTCAATCGGTGTGACTTGCTCTTCAGATCCAGATACAAGAAGTCTAGTTTTCATCCCACTTACAATTGAATCCAACTCACTTAGTGTTGCTTTTGGCTTCTCACTAGCAACTTTTGTAGGACTTTGAATTGTCGAATCATTAAAATTTCCGAGTAAATCATCACTAATTGCCTTATTTGCCGGTTTATGGCTATTTATCAGTGCCATAATATCAATATTATTATTGCTGGAAGCTTGCTGTGACATCATAACTTGTGGTGTCAATAAAATGTTATCAATTTGAGCACTTAACGGAGATGTTGTAGATGATGAAAATATATCATTTAATTCACTAAGCGTTCCATTTGAGGATTCCTGAGTAGCCAAAGCTTCCCCAGAATTCTCAGCTACATCCAGTAAATTTGTTGTTGTAGTTTTCGTTGGTTTTTGAGTCGGAATTTTGTTAATTATAATTGCTGTGTAATTTTCAATCGTTCGATTCATTAAATCAGTCGTTTCCAAAATTTTATTCATAAAGGTCTCAGAGTCATGCGATTCTTCTGCTAATCGGCAAACAGTTGGCTTCAATTTTAAACAATTTTTATAAATTTCTTGGAGTGTACTTAACGTATCTTCGCTAGCATTATTAACATCAATTTCATCAAGCATTTCCTTTAGTAAAATTGCATTCTCATTAGCACTTTGAAGGTCCATAAGACGACGATTTTGAATCTGAATGCGCCTGTCATTGTCGCGGACCATATTTTGAATCATTAAATTAGCTGCCTCAATATCCTTTTGATTTCGACTTTGAAGAAGTCTCTTAAACTTTTCTGATTCCATTAATTTTAATGTGCTGTCTGTTGACTTTCTACTTGGTGCTATCACATTCTTTTGTGGCTCATGAACAACTCCTTGTGTACGCAACATTGTATATGCTTCCTTTATCTTGCCTAATTCTGGATATTTGTCAGTCCATGTAAATAGAATGTCCAAAATCTGTAAAATTATCTTAATTAAATACTTAGTCATGGCTTAAATATTACATTACTCACTCTATTTTGTATTTCCAACGGAGTTTTATCGCCGAGGAATTTCTTGCTGACTAAACGAATCTTTGGAAGAAGAAGATAGAGGAGAAAAATCGATTGTTATCGCCGAAAAAGCTCTACATGTCCATAATCAATACTTACCAATTCATTTAAAAACTTGAATTTATTGATTTCAATGTGAAAATTCGTTCCCAGTATATCCATACATTCTATGTATAACAAAATTTTATTAATCATGCATATAAGTCTATATATCACTTACCTTCTAAACAGTCTAAAGCATAAAGGCTTTCTTTGACATTTTGTGACTGAATTTTGTTTGCTAAAATTCTCGTTGCATTTGCATTCAATTCCGGCTCTTTCTTGACCAATAGACAAAATGCATCCAGTGCAGATATATCAAATTCATCCTTTGATGGGTCCGATGCTTGATCTGAATGATAAATTTTCAAGAAAATTGGTAATTTATTGAATTTTAATGGATTTACTCACCCAAATATATTTCCAAATTAGCGAGTGACAGCTCTCGACTCATTTTAACTACAATAACTAGAAATTAGGACTGTAAAGGATTAAATAAGTGCTTAAACCAATGATTATTTTGGAGACGATTAAAATTTTCTGATTTTTTCGAGCAAGGGGCTTTAAACTTGGTTTGTTTATAAAAAATAAGGGGTATGAAATTTGAATTAGCACTATTATGACGAAGTGATTGTTTAATGTGCAATTGTTTGTCTTACTGTCTAAGTTAAATTTTGCTGTCTTCTGTTTATTATGCATGAAAACATAGCTCTAAAGACTTATTTCCCGTATTAAAATAATCTAAAATCCTGCGAAAATGCTAGTTGAAATTAGTTCAAAAACAAAGTTCAAAAGTTTCTGTTTTCAATTTTTAAATTTGAAGAAACTGTTAAAAATCAATAAAAAAAAATAAACATCAACAATCATATTAAATAGTTTAAAACCGTAATAACTGCGCTGTAATCATCGAACATCATTTAACATTTCAATCCACAAAGAGTGATTTCGTCAGCAACACATTTACTTGCGGTGATTTACTATTTTAGTCAAATTTTTGTAATTTATTGAATTAAAATGTCGAGGAAGCAGCAAGAGTGGAATTCACCTGACGATACGATCCCTAAACTAAGGCTATACAATAGTCTGTCAAGGAAGAAGGAGATCTTTAATCCACAGGATAGAAAACTTGTAAAATGGTATTCATGTGGTAAGAAAAAATTAATTTTCCTGAATGATTCAAAAAAGATCCAGTAACATCTATAATTATTGTGATTTACAGGTCCAACAGTGTATGATGCAAGTCATATGGGTCACGCTCGTACTTATATATCGTTTGATATTCTCCGTCGTGTTCTTGCTGACTATTTCGGCTATCAAATTTACTTTGTGATGAATATTACTGATATTGATGATAAAATTATAAGACGTGCAAGGCAAAACTTCCTGTTTGAAGAGTATATCAAGAAAAATGTTTCACTAGAGGAATTTATCGAGAATGTCAATACGTCAATGGAAATATTTCGTAATAAAAAGGCCGAAAATAAAGATCCAGATAAGGCAATTATGATGGATAGGATTTTAACAGGCGTAGAAGAAGCTGAAAACAATTTACGTAAAGCAGTCGAGTCTGCGAATGAAGAGGAAATTCCAAAAGCTAGATTACATTTGCAAGAAGCAGCAAAATCGCCTGTAAGTGACTGGCTAGATTCTCAATTTGGTGCTACAGTTAGAGACAAGAAGATCTTTGAGACACTCACAAGATTCTGGGAAAATGAATATAATGAAGACATGGAAGCGTTGAATATATTGCCACCAAACGTACTGACAAGAGTTACTGAATATGTTCCTGAAATTATAACATTTATCCAAAAAATCATCGCTAATGGCTATGCTTATGAATCAAATGGTTCAGTTTATTTCGATGTCGCTAAATTCGACTCTGCAAAGCAACATTATTATGCTAAACTAGTTCCTGAAGCTTTTGGAGATACAGCACAGCTGCAAGAAGGAGAAGGTGATTTGAGTGGAGATCGTGGAACTGAAAAGAGATCACCAAATGATTTTGCTTTATGGAAGAATAGTAAGGAAGGAGAACCAGCTTGGGAAAGTCCATTCGGACTTGGACGACCTGGATGGCATATTGAATGCTCTGCAATGGCTGCAGAAATCTTTAAAGGTAAGATTTGAACTGAAACGATTTTGTAAAATTTGAATTTACTCTTTAGTTTTGAACCTATTAAATTCAAATATTTGTAGACCGTTATTTTACAATAAAAATTCATTAATTTAAATACTTTTCAGGCGATTTGGACATTCACACTGGAGGAGTTGATTTAAAATTCCCGCATCACGACAATGAAATTGCGCAAAGTGAAGCTCATTATGATAATGGTGGATGGGTCAAGTACTTCCTTCATACTGGCCACTTGACAATCTCTGGATGTAAAATGTCAAAGTCATTGAAGAATTTCATTACAATAAGGGAAGCTTTGAAGCAACATACAGCAACACAAATTCGTTTTGCATTCTTATTACATTCATGGAAGGACACACTTGATTATAGTGCAAATACAATGGAAATTGCTGTAAGATATGAGAAGCTTCTTAATGAGTTCTTCCTGAATGTCAAGGACTTGGTACGTCAGTATAAGACTAAGGAAATGAAAAAGTATACCGAGCGTGACTTAGATTTGAGTAACAAATTCTATGAGACGAAAAAATCCGTTCATGCTGCATTGTGTGACAATATTGATACGAAATCAGCACTTGATTCAATCCGTGAAATAATTTCAAATGCTAATATTTACATCCGTGACATTCAGTCTGCTGTTAATGCTCAGTTGCTTGAAGAAATTGCCATTTACATTACAGAACTTCTTCAAATTTTCGGAGCAATTTCCAATAAGAATAAAAAGTTTATTGGATTTCCAGCAAAATCAGACGACGGCGAGAGTGAAAATAAGGAAGAAATTCTAATTCCATATTTAGCAGCACTAGCTGATTTCCGTAAAGTCGTACGTGAAAGTGCATTGGAAGTAAAAGCTACAAAAATCCTTCAATTATGCGACGAGTTGCGTGACGAAATTTTACCAAACTTGAGTGTTCGTTTAGAAGACAAAGAAGGCAAGTCAGTTATAAAGCTCGTCGATCGTGAGACATTAATGAAAGAAAGGGACGAAAAGAAGAAACGTGAGGATCAAAAGAAGGCAGAACAGCTTGCAAAGGCTGAAGCTCAACGTCAAAAAGACAAGGAACGTGAAGAACAGCGTAAAATTGATCCAAAAGACATGTTCAAGTCACAAATGGATAAATATTCAGCATTTGATAATGAAGGCTTGCCAACGCACGATAATGAAGGCAAGGAGATCAGCAAAGGACAACAGAAGAAACTGAAAAAGTTACAGCAACAGCAAGAAGTCAAATACTCGGAATATCTCAAATCAGTCACGAATTGATAATTAAAAAGGTTTTTACATGTATTTTAAATATATTATTAATGCATAATAAATCATCATTTTTCTATTACTGATGTGCTTAGCATTTACACAATGCCTGTATTATTTGGTTGATTAACTGGTGGCTGTGCTCGACTCATGAAATTTCTCAACAATTCTCGTTGTCCGAATGCCTTAACACCGTCTTTTAAGTTACTTCCAAATTTACATTTTATATATCCATGAAGATTAGCTCCACTCAACGTCAATGCGATCATGACAAGAACAAGCCACTTAAATTTAAGTCCAAATAGTGCCACGATGAAGAAAAATGTCCATAAAATAGGAACGACTGCAAGGGCCAGCCAAAATATTCTCGATTCTCTTGGATTGTGTCGATTTAATTGCTGTGCTTTGTCCTGCAAAAGGTTCGTAACCATTAGAAAATGTTTTTTATCGCATAGGAAGTTTGTTTGCCGGCTGTTTAGTGACAATAGTATAAAATATTTGATAATGTGAATATCATGACGTCGCTAGTTTGCAGTCATTTTACAAGACTGGAACATAGAAACACAATTATGTATTAAACGGGTTTTCAGAATTTGAACTTTTGAAAACCATACAAATTTTTAAAACTCGCATTTGTATGGTTTTGAGAAAGTTTTAATTCCTAAAATCCGCTGGAAACCAAAAATTTATGATGAGCAGACAGAAGATTCAGTAAGCAACAAAATCATGGCATTCAACAGCCAATTGGCAAGACTCACCCTAGATTCATAGACCCAAATGGATTTTCCATCGTCATCAATATAATTCCACCATCTAAGACCTACTAATATCCTTCCTGTAATGTTTTTAACTGTCCAAAAATCAGCCGAAAGCAGCAGGACTATAAATACGAAACTTGTTATAAAACTATCGGTAAATAACGATGAAAATAGATAAAAGACTACGGCTAAAGATCTGAAAATGACATGGAAAAATGTGACGTATGGATGTCTGGAAGAGAATTTATTTTAAGTAAGTGACGACTTTTTAAGCAATAAAAAAAATTTGTAAAATACTTTAATCGACTTGATGATGTGTTATCATTGAATTCTTCGCCAAATTCATCCTCAAGTAATGGAACCTGCAAGTGAAAATATTTTTAAAGCATCAGCTGGATAGAATAAACTATAATTAACTTACTGATGCCATACTATTCTATTTAAATTTAATAATTTTTACAAGACGAGATCAAAAAACTTTTCTGTTGTTGTGTTGGCGATTGACATTCCAGGGGTTGAAAATGGAACTGAGTATGAGTCATTAAGTGCTAAATAAATGATGTTCCTGACTATGACAGGTCTCTTAACTTTCTGGATCCATCGAACGATGAACCAGCTAGTAATTATTAATAGAACTTTGAGTAAATTTACTTCTAATGCTGACTTTTTTGACAGGTTGTGGATGTTATGTTTTGCAGCCCTGATTTCGAAGTATTTCACACTCCTTTTCGAAAATCAATGAAAGATTTTTGTTGCTTTTGTGGACATGCTTTTGAGAAATGCCTAGAAATGCTTACTAATATTAAGGAATAAGATCCAGTAATAATTTGGTCCAGTGGTAATTTGGTGAATCTAATATTATTTTACTAATTAAAGCACATCAAGTGATTATCAAAGCTTGAAATCATTCACATACGTTCGAAATACCAATCAAAAACTTCGACCAATAAGAACTAGTAAATAAACAAGTTACTTAAAAGCGTGAAAAAGAGTCAAAACATGCTCAGAAACTTACCAAACTTATTTAATGCAATTAATTTAAGTAATCAAGTGCGACAGAATGTAAGGACATTGTATGTGAGTGCTACAAATGAGGCGGCACGTAAAGGAACTCGCGAGAAGGCTCGCAAGAAGAAAGTAAAGGTAGAAATTAAGAAAGTTGGATTCATTCCGCATAATTTGAGAAAAAAGTAAGAAAATAACAAAATTTTGTTGATTAAGGCACTAATTAATGATGACAATGCTTTTTCAGAGTTAAAATAGAGATAAATAAGCATGTTGATGATTCGTGGAAGCCAACATCTTCAGATGATGTCTGGATCGGCAAATATTGTCAATATCCTGTATTTACAGTACAAGAAGCTGTAAAGTTCCATCGTGAAACTCATCATCCAACAATGTATAATGTCCCAAATGCTGCAATTATAGCTGAAATTGAAATAAACATGCAAGGCGATAAGCCCACAAGATTCGTTGAGAATTTCCATCGAATGGCACCAATTAATCATAAATTTGATCACGGCGAGGAACGATCGATTTTGGTGCTGACAAAAGGGCAGGAAAACATTGATATAGCAAAAAAAGCTGGTGCTACATTAGTCGGTGATGTTGGATTAATTAAAAGTATTCAGAATGGAGATCTTTCAATCCAAGAATATCAATATATTATAGCACATAATAACATTCTGGCTGATTTGGTCCATGTTAGAGGTCTCATGAAGAGACGCTTTCCAAATCCAAAGAGTGGTACATTAGGAAGCGATTTAGAAGAAATGATACAGAAATTCGTGAACGGAATAACTTACAGTGCATTAAAAGATGAAAATCAGCAGAATTTTGCACAAATTACAGCTCAATTTGGTACATTGGATATGGATGAGAAGCATTTAGAAGATAATTTAGCTCAGCTATTAAAGGATATCAATACAAATAGACCGAAACGAGAAGGGAAATTCATCACTCGAGTCTTCCTTAAAAGTCCACCATCGAATGAGACATTGAAAATTAATCCATTCGAGTACGTGCCGGAAGAACAAACATTCACATCGAAAAAGAAACCTGCTGTGTTGGCAGAAGAGGAACATGAGGAATCAGCAGATGCTGATGATGATAACAACGAAAAGGAGAAGAAGGAAGCCGTTAATTAATTTCTAATGATTTCATTTGTCTTCTTTTCCTTGTTGTCGTCTCATCTTTAGACACTGAACCATCAATTAGTTTTAGTTTGAAATAAAGAAAAAAAAAAGGTTTTTAAAATAAAAACTGATGACATTGCACATCAAAGATCTTTCGTTTCCATGTCTATTTCAATTTATACTGCTGTTTTTGGGAGTCATTTATGAATAGCGTTACAGAGAATTTCAGGTTTTAATTTTACCGGTTTTTGTAGATTTTGAATTTTAACGGCTTTGTAAAATCTAAAACTATGTCACTGTAAAAAATAGAAGTCTACAAAATTCGTTAAAATTTGAATTTTACAAAACCGTTAAAAAAATTCAGCATAGATTTTAAAGATTACATCGTACTCAAAGGACAATGCACCTCATACACACCATGATCTACAGCATATCCATATTCTTCATACACAAGTATGTAGAATGATACTGAGAATTCAATGGAATGCAATGCAATGATGCATAATGGAAAAAAATTAATTAAATTGATTCACGTTCATTCGAAGTCGTAGAATAAAAAAAAAGTTGATGATGAAGACATTTTTTGTGCTCCATTTCTTTTCATCCATCGAAACGTGGTAGTTTTGTGAAGGGGTAAAGTGAAAATGTAATTAACGTTCATCTTTTTAGTGAGAAAGAAAGAATAAAACGTGATGAAACATTCTCTCTCATCGACTACATTTTTATATCACAGAACATGCTGAACAAGACAGCTCAATTTAGTTTAGTGACGATGCGAACATGAATTCGTCTTTCCACTTTTGTGGAATTTTTATTCTTGCATATTTGTAAAGCTTAAAATGAGAGAATGTAATGAAGTCATGAAAAGGAGTTGGAAAATACTATTTTAAGGCTTCAAACACAAGTTTTCATTTTTAACGAACTTGTAAAATTTATAAATTTGTCTTTGTTAAAATTTAAATCTTATAAAATCGTTAATATTTGAATTTTACAAAACCGCTATCTCAAAATCTTAAAATTAGTCAAAATAATTTTCTTAAAATCAATTCTTTAAAAGATTTAAACTCCTAATCTACACACAGCCACTCAACTGAGTCGAATAAATTCCAACAATCATCACCAACATGATCCTGAAAATGAATGAAATGCCATCAAGTGACTCAATGAACTCCGATAGATCTTTGACATATTTTATCGTGGATGAACAAAGTTTGAATTTTCTTTTCATTTTCTATCCTTACTCTTTTTTTTAAATAACATAAAATACCTGATATCAAAAGAAGCAAAAACTGCTCACATCTGGCACGTGCAAATCACTGATTTGATTGCAATTTTTCTCTGAGCTCCTTTCATTCTCTTAATATTTTTACAAGCTGCTGCTCTTCATGTACATTCTCTCTCATCTTTTTAAGATTTTTAATAAAATATCGAAAGGTGAATAAAGGATAATGAAAATAGAATTCATCTGGATGATAAATGTGATTCTATTCAGTGGCATATGAACTATTGATTTGATGCTGAACATAATGAAATGAAGTTCATATGTTGAATGGTAACGGACGAACTTTTATGGAGCAATGACAATTGATGAACTTTATAAGAGATGATCCTCTTATAGTGAAGGTATTGAAAAGGTTTTTTTGATCTAAATTGAATCTCAGGCATGGTTTTCAAGTCAAAACTGTCTTCAATATCACGAAACTCACCCGAATAGCACATGTCGGATAATCGAGACAAAATCCACGCTTGGAAATCGTTAAGACGAAAACGACGTCCATAGGATTTTGTCTCGATTATCCGAGTTGTGCTACTCGGATCAGCACGAATATCGCAAAAAAATAAGACACAATTGTATCAATATGCCTATTTGAATTCTACTCCAATAAAAAAGCCATGTGCAGATAAACAAACTATTTAGTTCAATTCTCAATAATTATTGCTTTTCGTCATCAACTTCCCAGCTGTTTAAACATATTTTCAGACCTATTTTTATCGAGTAGCTGATCAGTTTCCAATTAAGCATATTCAGTGTCAATTCAGATCATCACTTGTGAAGATGAACTCTGTCATTATAATTTTATCTTTAACATTAACTCTCATTACAATGGTAGGAAGTGCCAAAGGTCCTTGTAACTATTGTGAAAGTGAATGTGTGAAAGAGAAATTTGGCAATACATTAAAAATTTTACGACGAGTTGAGAAAAATTCCATAAATACATTCAAAATTACAGAAGAGAAGACAATGAACTTTAATGTGGACATTGCTGAAGGATCAGCCACAATGTATGACACAGAAGTTAGCAATATTTTAGGAGCAACAATTGTGAAAGTTGATATGTCTGTAAATGCTGACAAAACCAAGGGTAAAGCAGTTGGAACGTTTTTTATTCCAGAAGTTGATATTAAGAGTCACGGAAAAGCAAAATTCATCACAAAGAACAATGATCAGATGTCTGGAGTTGATGACCTGAAAATTCCACAAGAAATTGACACTGAAGGAGAACTTTCGGCTAGCTTTAGAAATGTTTTAGTTGATTTTAATATCAATTTTGACGTTGAGAAGAAACCAAACAGTAAAGCATCTCTAGTTCCAACAGCTCTTACAATACAATTGATCTGTAAAAATATTAATGATGCCTCATTCAACTTTGAGCCTTCTGTTGGAAATTCAGTCAAAAGTAATTACCTTTTTTGTTCCTTAAATTCTGCTTAATAATGTATCTTATTACTATTTTAGGAGCCATCGAGAAAGCTTATTTGAATGTTATTTCAAAAAGTAAAATGGATGACTATTGCGAAACTTTGATTGAAGGAAAGGAACATGAATTGGATTTAGATTCATTAGCTAATTTTGAGAAAATGTTCAGACGAGTTGCATTTGATGATAATTGTTAATTATCTAAAAACATTAGGGTTTTCAACCTGGGAATTGAAATGTATGTAATCCCGGAATCAATCCCAAGATTCAGTACATTTTACATTTTAATGAAAAAATAAATTAAAATAATTATTAAACTTCTTTGTTTTATTTGAAATTTATTAAAATGCTATTTTTACAGCTTATCATTCAATTGGTTATCCACTTAAGCATGTATTATAAATCTTTAAAACATTTAAGTCATTTTTGGACTTTGTTCAATTTGAGATTATTCAATTTATTTATTTTCTTATTCAAATAATGCACAGAGATTATTACTTTAAAATTTGTCCTTCTTCAGTCTTGAACTTACTTTTGAAGCTTCAAAATGCTCATCAGAGGAATATTTTTAATTGCTACAATATTCACTTTTACATCTCTCACAAAGGCAATTGACATTAATTGCCAATACAAAGGTTACGATTGGAACAATTGGGGACCAAAACAAACTTGCTTTGCATCTCTAGTAAGTGAAGTGAAGGAAGAAGACACTAATGTTGCCAAAATTGATGGAGACTATGTAAATTGTGAATGCAGTGTTAAAGCTGTGATAATTGATGGACAAACTTGCAACTATCTTCTTACTGGTTTTATGGATCATTTTCCGAAGATGACGGATTTGTACATTTTCAATGCAAAGTTAAAGCACATAAGTCGCTACGAATTTCAAAGTTATAGAGGCTTGAGAACAATATCCTTATCGAGAAATGATTTGAGTTACATACCACATGACACATTTGATGACATGATCAATCTGGAGTATTTTTCGCTTTCAATTAATAAGTTACGAATTATTCCAAATTTAAAGAGGCTAGCCAAACTGAAGGAACTGTACTTATTTGAGAATAAAATTGAAAAATTGTCATTTGAAGACTTGTCTGGAAACTTGAATTTAGAAGTTTTGTGGATTTACAGCAATAATTTGAACAAAATTGATTCAAAAATCTTCAATTTCCTTATCAACTTGAAAGATGCTCGTTTTGAGAACAACAATTGCATCAGTATGAATCATCCTCCGACATCAGTTGAGATAATAAAACAAGAAATTAATTCAAAATGTTAAGGTTGAGTTAATGTTTGCATCATTAATGAATTAATTAAATCATTTGTTAAGGATTTGTGTCTAAAACTGTTTTTTTAAAGAAATATCAAATAAAGAATTTTACAATTGGGCAATTCTCCAGCGGGGAAATCAGCCAAAAATCACTTTCAAATTGATTTTTCTTTAAATTTTCCCACTAAAGCATGTTTGTTCTCAATTAAAACAGATGTATTTTTCCTAATTCTATCTCTTAAAGTCATTCAGAAATCATAATTAAGCTTAAATCATTAGTTTTTTCAATTTTTTTAAGCGTTGCTCGGCAACCCAAAATGGAATTCAATTACGAAGAATCAAAAAATTACTATCAAAGAAACATTTTTATTACACGTAATACATACTAAATGGTAGATCGTCTTTAGTTTTATCATATTTAAATAACACATCTTTGATTTAATGCGTTAATTAAGAGAAAAATCGATTCTTCGAACAAAATTCAATGTTGCCGAGCAACGCAAACGCTTTATAGGAGAAAATCTGCTCAATGAAAAATTTAAAATTTGATAAAAACCGTTAGATCTTAAAACTTTCATTCGTTTATTTGGCACAAAAATGTTAATGATCTAAACTATATCTTATAATAATCATTAAAATGCATATAAATTAAATTTTCAACCTACAATTGACCACAGAACCGGAAAAAATCGTTTGAAACAGATATTTTTTAACGGTTTTCTCAAATTTGAAGTGTCAAGTAAAAGAAGAATTACAATTCACTTTTGAAAAATTCAATTCTTCTGGAGAATCGCCCAATTTTGAAATCAAATCTTTAATTTACAAAGATTCAATGAATATCGATCCTTTGATCTCCTTAAAATCTAATTCATTCTTAAAATAATGTCATTTTACAATGTTAAGAGCTTCCGCTGACACATTTTCCAAAAACTTCCAATTGAACAATTCAGAATCTTAAATAATACGTGCAAAAAGGTGAGAAAGAATTGATACTTTAAGCCTCTTATTGTCGAAAGCTCATGAACTCTTAACGCCATATCAACGGTAACAGTAAAAATGTTGATGAGAAATTAGATTTGAATCATGTCTGATAGGATTTATACGGTGTGGAACTTTTTAATGCTCGTTATTCAGATTTTTTTCTCTTCTTCTGTGATGCTGCTCTCTTTCACCATCATTTGGGTAGGTGCGTGATGTGAACGATGTGTGAAGTTTTTATCTCATCTTCACATGATGAGGTTTGAAATAATTTTTTCTTCATCTAAAATTAAATTGCAAAAGATGAGCAAAAACTTGAACAACGTTGAACAAATTCCTCGACTGAGTACTGAAAATAAAAAGTTTTTCATGCATGAAATGGAAGAGGGTGGAATGAGGAAACCGAAAAATACTCGTGTAATTTTTTAAAAGGATGCTTTTGTTTGAAGTTTGTCTGACTTGATCCTCTGTTATTTCTTGTGGATATGAAAATAGAACGTTAAACTTACCCTGACTTGTTAGAATCTTATCATTCCCAACTTCATATTTGGCAACCCATACATTCTCATATCTAAATTAAATTTCAGAGAGATCAATGTTGCACAAAAGAGATCCATTTGCCAGCTTACAAGCAGGTTTACAAGCTAACAGCTCACAAGCGTGATTTAAATCAGATCCAGCGCCATGCTAGAGTCACACCGGCTTGGTGTCATATTTCTAATCGATTAACCGACTTGTGCTATTCAGGGTATCCTTAAATTTATGCAACCAGTCTGATTCTGTATAAGTTCTGTAAGGGATGTGGTCAAACATCCGAAGAGCTGAGAAGGGAGTCTAATTTTTTTAGAGGCCGTTCAATTATGACGTCCAGGGGGGGGGGGGGGGGGGGGTCAGCAAGAAAAGAACAATAGACATTCCTGAAAATCCATTGTTCTCTTTTGAAAAATGACCGTTATTTTCGGACGTCATAAGTGAACGATCCCTTATTCAAATGATTCATTCTATTACGAGATAATGCGCTTATTTAATACACAACTGACTCCTACTTCCTCTACTTCCTCTATGCTTACTTATGTTTCAAGATTCAATTCTGATGTTTTACTTACATGACAAATCAAAGCACATGAATTCAAATGATGCACAAATTTACCTTCGTGTACTCTTCTCGTGAGATGTTGAGAAACTTTTCTTTTTCGGAGGAGTGATGCGATAGAAAATTTGATTTTATCGTTCATGTACTGTACTTACTTGCTCAAGAAGTTTTCAACGAGGTTTGAGGTTTTTGAAAGTCTCGACACGAAATTTGTTTAGAAAATTGTTGACATTTTTTTTTGACAGAAAGTTTGTTTAGCAGCAACTTGACATGTTTAATACATCAAAAATGTTTATTTGCTTCTTTATGTTAAGATTTTTAGATGTTAAAAATAGTTAAACATTGGAAATTTGAAAAAAAAACAAAGATTTATTTTTTATCGAAACTTTGTAGTGATCACAAAAAGTTTAAATATGATTTTATTTATTTTTAATGTTAAGAACTAGCGAGAAAAATTGAGGCTCATTGTAATTCGATTTCAGTTGTTCCAAAGCGTAAGACTTTTGATGATTTTTCGATGAAAAGTTTACTTGCAAAATCGACTCTTAGCTCAACAAAATATCCATTTAAAATGGATTCATGCTTACAAAGATCAATTTTCCATTTTGATGTATCTAACTTTGGCACTTCTTCATAGTACGTTTTATTAAGAGTAGCCAAAACATAATGTTCATTTGATCCTTTTGTGTGGTTTTTGGATTATAATATGTGTGCTGTATATGGCTTGCGATTGACAAACTTTAAAACAGCACTTTAAAACAGAAAAGTTAAAATTAAATCTCCTTTACTCCATCTAAATACTGAGGATGAACAAAACAAGACCAGCGATGACTGGATAATAATGAAGTTCCAATTAAACTCTTAACGAATGAGCTTTTATGTTTAATGTATATCCTTTTATTGAGTAAATAATAAAAATTGAATAAATTTTTTGATCAACCTTTATCAACCTTTTTACCGCTTTTTACAAGCTTCTTTTTAATACATTTTAAGCTAAAGATGGATTTGATGTATTTATGAGAAGATTTTCCTGTTCAAAATTAAGAAAACAATTTAAACATAATTACAGATAAATATTTGATAATTTCAAAAGCTAAATTCAACTTATGACAAATTTTTTCTGAAAAAAATTCTGCTATCTTAAATGACACACATGAAATCAGCTTGAGAAAGGTAAATTTTGTCATCAACAAAAAAATCGAAGCAACATTTGAAAAAATTTCTTTCTTTTGAATTCATCAATTTCAAAACATCGAAAAAAAAGGAACACATGGAAATCTTTTGAGTGATTGGAAGAAGGCACGAAATACATCATGACTCGCTGAAGCACAAAGGAATTAAATATGAGTGAGAATTTAAATGGCATTAAAAAGATATGAAAAAATCTCAAACAAGCATGAAACTACAAAGACATCAAACAAAATCCGACGATATTGACATATGGACACAATGCTTAATATGGATGTCCCTTTCAATTAAGAACTAGACGACATTCGAAAATTATGATGATAAAGGAAGTGCCTGTGTGGATAGTTTTGATATCCAGCACTGGTGAGAAGCAATGAGTTATAAATAAAATCAGCATTTCCTTGATGAAGTCATGAGACAACGGACGATCATTTCAAAATAACAGAAGCTGTTGAAGTTGAACGTGATTGATTATTTACTACATCGTCACTTTACATGCTTAATCGCTGGAAACAGATGAAATTAGTGTTCAACAATTATTGTGGATATTTTAATGTACTGAATATGTTCTTGCATCAAGTACACTACCAAATTTCAGTCAACGAAGTTTATGCCGTCTTTAAAATTACGCGTGAAATTTATGGAAATGCTGCTCAACTCGACATTCTTCTCTATCATCTTACAAGAAAGACTTCGAATCACGCATGGTAGAATCAAATGTCATTCGTCCACTAATTCAATCAGTGCTTTTACAACATGGCTATGGAAATGAACCTGCTGATGATGTTAGCCGATTACATTTGTACTTGAAAATTTGTTAAAAAATATCATCAGCTAAAAGGACCTTCTCTGGAACACCACTGGAACTGAAAAATGGACATAATCAACATTTTGAAAGGATCGTTTTACTTAGCTGCTTCTCACGCGTAATCCCACTTTTTCAGAAATAAGAGGAGGTCAAGAAATTACCGACAAAACAGTTGCACAGAAGGATTGCTTAAAAGATGGGGATGAAGAAATCTTAATGTCAATCAGTTGATATGAATTTGAATATTTGTTCAAAAATAACATCAGCTAGAATGACCTTTTCTGGGCCTCCTTGTCACTGATGTCCAGCAACTAGGAAGAAGAATTTAATCAGGAAAATGATAATCAAAATAGAGTTGATTTTAGTCAAGAAGTCAACAAGCAGAGAAGAAGATTATCAATTTCAAAAATTACCAATTTTAATTTTCGCTAGTTCTAAATATCTGTGCATTAATTAAAGAATTTTCTGACTCTACAGAAGCTGTTGAAGCGATTGAACATCATTTATTATTTGCAACTCATTGTCGGTAACTGCTACATCAGCTGAAATTAATCGTCATCACTTATTGTCAAATGACTGCTCAACACGATATTTTTGCAAGAATTAAATCAAGTTGATCTACCAATTAGTTCACCACTAGTGCAATATGGTTGTGCAAATAAAACTGCAAAACTAAAAGGATCTTCCCTGGATTTTCATTGAATTTAAAGAATCGACAACACTATGAAAGGATCGTGAAACATTTCAGGAAGCAGATTCATGTGGAAACAAGGAATCAAGCTCACAGTAAGTTATTTCTTCTTTAATTCTTTATGAAACTGCATCACCACTATTATCCTTCTGTAATCTTAAGAATACTACATCTCACTTTTATATTTTCTTCTTTAAATACGAATAGTGGAACTGCTGAAAAATCTGATTTCAATTAAAGGCTTCTCAGACTTTTTCTCACTTTTTCTCCTTAATAACCGTTTTTTTCAATTAATTTTTTGCAGTCCAGCCAATTTCAAGCTACTTTTCGATGCAGAAATTTTCACATCGAATAGCTGGTCATTAAGCAAGACGAAACACCAGCTTCAAGTTCTGCACCACCAAGTCTACAAGGAATCGTTTTTCAACTTAGCATTTACGCCAACAAAAAGTAAGTCAACTTGAGATTTTAACTTGAATAATTTTTTTCCATTTCTATGATTTATACATGTATAAAATTAGGAATTGCCTCACCGTCCTGCCCAAAATTTTTTTCAGCACTTAGAAAACTTACATTTTAGTGAAAAATGCAGCCAAAATGTTTCTGATCTTAATTGGGTGACAAAAGCAACATGAGTCAAAAAGATAGAGCCATAATGATGAGTTCATGAAAAAGAGGCTGCAAATAAACCAATTTCATGACTTGAACAAAATAAGCATCTGGAAATAAGCTATAGATTGAGTCTTATTTGCCCAAATTTTAACAAAGATCCATCACAAATCATGCTTGCTAGTTTAAAACTTGGCATCAATTTTGGTTCTGTTGTTTGCCTTATTATGAATTAATTGCAGATGCTCAGTTGGAGGAATCAAAAAGCAATGCACTAGACAATGGAAATAATGAATTTTGTCTACGACTAGGTTACTCGTTGGTGATTTAATTGTCTTACTAGCAATATTAATTTTATACAAATCTCAAATCCAATTTTTATTCCACAGGAATGCAGCTCTAGTTAACAAGAGCCTAAGGTTTTTCTTTGCATTGGAATTTTGATATCATTCTATTTGTCTTCCTTGGATTTTAAAACTTATCAAGAAGTTTTCTTTTGGAGCTTCAAAAGTCGTAGAACTAAGTGAGTAAATGTTTTAAGACATAAATAACAAAGAATCCACAACAAATCATGTTTAATTCTAAAAACTCAACTTAAAATTCAGAATATCTTCTTAAAGCTGATAAATAAGATTGAGCACATAACTAAATTAAGCCAGTTTTATCTTTAAATTAATTTATGAACATGCAACAATCGATTCATGTTGAATTTTCTATTCAGACTTATCAATGGATTCTCTGGTTTTCAACGAGGTTTGAGGTTTTTGAGCAGCAACTTGACATGTTTAATACATCAAAAATGTTTATTTGCTTCTTTATGTTAAGATGTTTAGATGCTAAAAATAGTTAAACATTGGAAATTTGAGAAAGAACAAAGATTTATTTTTTATCGAAACTTTGAAGTGATCACAAAAAGTTTAAATATGATTTTATTTATTTTTAATGTTAAGAACTAGCGAGAAAAATTGAGGCTCATTGTAATTCGATTTCAGTTGTTCCAAAGCGTAACACTTTTGATGATTTTTCGATGAAAAGTTTACTTGCAAAATCGACTCTTAGCTCAACAAAATATCCATTTAAAATGGATTCATGCTTACAAAGATCAATTTTCCATTTTGATGTATCTAACTTTGGCACTTCTTCACAGTACGTTTTATTAAGAGTAGCCAAAACATAATGTTCTGGATGAATTGGTGGTCTTTCTGGATCGTATTGAACTATTGTGGTAAAGTAAAACAATACATCTGCTTCATCACTCATATCGGTTATAAAATCGTTAAGATCTTTCCTTCGAATAAAATTTTGCCTGTAATATAAATTAAAATCAAACATTTTTTTTGTTATATAAATTGCTCAATTTAAAACAAAATCAAATTTTTATAGTTTTGCGAATATCAGATCATTATGAGAATCATGTATTGATCGGAATAACTTGAAGGACACCTTTTGAGGACGCAATTAATTGACACAATCTTGGAGAGGTGTGATATCATAATATTAATGATTCGAATGCTATTTATCGCTTTATTCGTTTGAAAACTTATCAATTTTATTAAACTGAATTGAAACGATATTTAGCACATTCTAAAGCATTAAAGACAATTTTTAAATGTAAAAAACTGTCTGGTTTAAAATTTTGAAAGAGAAAATTAATAAGAATCTAAATGAATTAAATCAAAAATAAGCTAAAACTAATTATACAACAAGTTGAATTTTGTATTCATTAAATTTCAGATCTTAAACTATTGAATCTATTGCTTTATTCTAATGATTTTTTTTGATTCTAAAATAAGCTTTAATTTCCAAATTAAAAAAATCGAATTCAAACTTCATTATATATTGTTCAACCTATTGAATCATCATCTCATTGGAAAAATTGTAAAGTACTTGATAACACATATCAATCCTACTAGTTGTTATAGATTTTTTTATTTGATAGTCATATCAACCTGTAAAATTTTTATAAGGGTTTACTTGATATCACGTATCGACCTGTATATTTCAACGACAATCAGTTTCACTTCAACTTTCTTAATTTAAAGTCGCAATTGCAACAGTTGAATCATAGCAAAACTGAGGATAACAAAAAGGATGAAAAGTATCGGACAATATTTTTATTTCAACAAACTACATTAGATTGAGGAATTTGAGTTTAAGAGGTTCTTACTTTGAAATTCGCAGTAAATTCAAATTAAAGTTTTAAATTTTGAAACTATCAAATAGAATCAAGTTTCTTAGAATCGAATGAGTCAAGTAACTTGATTTTGTGCCTTTTGCATGTAGAATATTGAGCATAAAGAATGAAAATTAGCAAAAATCTTTTTGTTATTCTTTGGTCTTGTCCATTGATTAGAAAACTTTAATTAAAAATTGATCATCAATTAAGTGAATTTCAATATATTCTACTTTTCCAGTAAATTAATCATATTTCCACAAAAATTGCGTAATGAAATAATTTTAACTTGTGTGTACATTAAAGTGATATATAAATACTAAAGAGTCATTTTAAAAACGACGTTCTTTTATCAAGGAAGATTTTTACACTTATTAAAGAAAAAAAGGAATGATCTAGAATATTCAACTTCAGAAAAAATATAGGCTGTTATAAATACTCAGTAGCTTAGTTTGAAAGATCCAGTAAATAAGGGAAAGAAAAACCTAATGGATGATTAACTTTCCAAGAATTTCAATTGTTCTCGACTTAAGTAACTTAATTCAAATGAGTAAAAGTCAAAATTACCTCGTTTTTTAATTTTTCAGGAAATTGAACTCCTTAATCTTCAATCCGCAAATAAAGACTTCTTTGATGAATTATTTGAGAATTAGAATTAAATAAACTAATTATTCCTGAATTAAAGGATTTTCTCTGTCAATTTTAGTTTTTTTGTTTGAGCATATAACTTAAAATGGTGGAATAAAATACTAGCTGAATAACGGGGTACAAAGCTAAGCTATGCAAAGTAAGAAGTTCAAAATATATTTGTCATCTATCAATTTCGTATCAAAGGCAAAAATCTATTCAAAGCATCAAAAGGAATCTATGTCGAGGCTTGCCTAGCCAAAGGCAATGCCTAGAAATAGGTAACATTTTGTGTTGTTGAGTAGGCAAAACCAAGATTAGATTCATTTATTTGCTTATTTTTGTTTAAAAAATATCGCAAAAAAGCACCAACTTGATTCTAATATAGATTTTGGTTAGGTAGAGGCATGCCTAAGATATGCAATGCCTAGACAAACTGATCATTCCACACTTTTTTTTGTCTGTTCGTCTATCATTCTATCTCCTAATTTGACCTTTTGTGTGGTTTTTGGCTTATAATATGTGTGCTGTGTATGGCTTGCGATTGACAAACTTTAAAACAGCACTTTAAAACAGAAAAGTTAAAATTAAATCTCCTTTACTCTATCTAAATACTGAGGATGATCAAAACAAGACCAGCGATGACTGGATAGTAATGAAGTTCCAATTAAACCCTTAACGAATGAGCTTTTATGTTTAATGTATATCCTTTTATTAAGTAAATAATAAAAATTTGATTAAAATTGAATAAAATTTTTGAAACCAATTTTCTCTGAGACTTTAAATTTATAACTCTATATTCTTTTTTTAGCTTTTTTGCCGTTCCATCAGATTCAGCATTGCAGAAGATTTGATTTTAAATTAGTCATGTTCTATAGAATATTTGTTGATTATTCTTGAAGATCTCATTGAATTATTTTTGAATGAAAATGGCAATCTTCTGCTGAGTGCTTTTAGCTTTATCAACTTTTTAACAACCTTCTTTAAGCTAAAGATGGATTTCATAACTATATGAGAAGATTTTCCTGTTCAAAATTAAGAAAACAATTTAAACATAATTACAGATAAATATTTGATAATTTCAAAAGCTAAATTCAACTTATGACAAATTTTTTCTGAAAAAAATTCTGCTATCTTAAATGACACACATGAAATCAGCTTGAGAAAGGTAAATTTTGTCATCAACAAAAAAATCGAAGCAACATTTGAAAAAATTTCTTTCTTTTGAATTCATCAATTTCAAAACATCGAAAAAAAAAATAATGAACACATGGAAATCTTTTGAGTGATTGGAAGAAGGCACGAAATGCATCATGACTCGCTGAAGCACAAAGGAATTAAATATGAGTGAGAATTTAAACGGCATTGAGATTATTTATGAAGAAAATATTAAGCAAAAAAAGGAGATGAATCAAAAATGGAGATGAATCAAAAAATATCCGAAGATATAGACATATGGACACAATGCTTAATATGGATGTCCCTTTCAATTAAGAACTAGACGACATTCGAAAATTATGATGATAAAGGAAGTGCCTGTGTGGATAGTTTTGATATCTAGCACTGGTGAGAATCAATGAGTTATAAATAAAATCAGCATTTCCTTGATGAAGTCATGAGACAACGGACGATCATTTCAAAATAACAGAAGCTGTTGAAGTTGAACGTGATTGATTATTTACTACTTCGTCGCTTTACATACTTAATCGCTGGAAACAGATGAAATTAGTGTTCAACAATTATTGTGGATATTTTAATGTACTGAATATGTTCTTGCATCAAGTACACTACCAAATTTCAGTCAACGAAGTTTATGCCGTCTTTAAAATTACGCGTGAAATTTATGGAAATGCTGCTCAACTCGACATTCTTCTCTGTCATCTTACAAGAAAGACTTCGAATCTCGCATGGTAGAATCAAATGTCATTCGTCCACTAATTCAATCAGTGCTTTTACAACATAGCTTTGGAAATGAACCTGCTGATGATGTAAGCCTATTACATATGTACTTGAAAATTTGTTAAAAAATATCATCAGCTAAAAGGACCTTCTCTGGAACACCACTGGAACTGAAACATGGACATAGTCAACATTCGTGATGTATTTCTGCAAGCAAAATCCAGTTTAACCAAGCGCGTCAACGAATACCTAACAGTGGATCATCTAATTTAGCTCGCAGTAAGTCATTGTTGCTTCAATTCTCTCTGACAATGCTTCATCACCTTCCGCAAACTTGACAATATCCCAAACGTATATTTTCTTCGTTTTATGTGAAATTTTAAACTTGGCTTAATTTGTCTCCGAATTGATTTATTGAATTTGAAATTTCAATAGATTTCTTCTTAGCTGCTTCTCACGCTTCTTTTGTAATATCCTTTTATTTTTCCTAACCATGACAATTTAACTGGTTTTGATGGACCATCCAATTTTAATTCATCTTAAGCTCATAGCGTTTCCGGAATCTAGAGGAATTGCTCTGTCTATTCATTATAATTGAGAGCAATGTAGGAGATGATACAACCTTTCGACTTTTTTCTTACATTACCGAGTGCAAGTTTATTCAGTTTCTCCCAAACACTGTCCTAAGAACAGTCAGCTTCATCTTGACTTGACGTATTTAAATTATCAATTAGTGACTTTTCATTAGGATTGAATGTTTAGATATTTGGATATTTTGTCAAATTTTTACTACCTGAATTGCATGCAATTTATGATGAATTATTTTCTAATCCATTTTTCTTTTATTTTAGCTCAACGACGATTCGTATCATGACTACATTCTCATCTTGGAATAAGACTGTGAATATTCGGAGGATGGAATAGTTTTTCATCACACTTATCGAGTAAATGTCTCAAAACAACTCCAAATCAATTAAAGAAAATTCTTATGAATGAAGGATATTTTTCGAGTAATGTGACGAAGTTATGAATTGAATCATGACTCCTTATTGTAGGACAAAGAAAAAGGATACGATTAAAGCTCTAGATGGAGATGACATTCAATGAGATTACATGCGAAGAAAAATGTGAACTTAAAAGAATAATAAGCAGTTTTGGAAAATCACCAATCAAGCATGTAACTACACAGACATTAATTGATGACAAGATACGACACAGACTATCGAATTCAAAAAGATTTTATGCAGTTTTATCGTTTCATCGATTTTATCAAATATGTAAAGTCCGTAAAAGTACTGATCTGTAAAGTCGGTAAATTTAAAAGAAAATACAACAGACTCAAGAAAATGTCTCAAGATAAAAATATTCTAGTCGAAAGTTTTTATTAGTCCAACAAGACATGGAGATCTTTCAATTACAGTCAGCTTACACCGTCGACAGCAAATATATCAAGCAAGTAACACGACAATCAAGAAAGTTGTCCATGAAGCTGAGGAATCAGATAAAAATAAGACAATAAGAACTCAAATTACACGAAAAGATTAAAAGGTATGTAAAATAATATTCAGCATATCTTTGATGAAACATAAGACAACAGGCAATCATTTCTACTTTAAGCATCACGAAAGAATTA